CTGGTTCCGACTCAGCGGGTGGATTTTATTGGCATTGCCATAGATTCTGTGGCCATGCGGGCGAGGCTGACCGAGCAGAGGAGGGTCCGGATTCAGTCTTTGCTCTGGGCTTTTCGCCTTGGGGCGGCACCCCCAGTCCAGGTGTGGCTACGACTGTTGGGGATGCTGGTCTCGGCTTCTGCACTGGTGCCTCTAGGGCTGCTCCACCTTAGGCCCTTGCAGAGGTGGTTCAACGGCTTCCGCCTGGATCCCCAGCGACACCGAAGGGTCGAGCTGGAGGTCACGAGCAGCTGTGTGGCTCTTTTGCGTCATTGGGACGATGTCACCTACCTGAATCTCGGCGTGCCGCTTGGCGCGGTTCCCGCTAGACGGGAGGTGGTCACGACGGATGCGTCACCCCGGGGGTGGGGGGCGCATTGGCAGTGCAGGTCGGTCCAGGGGTTGTGGAGCTCCCGTCAGGCACGGCTTCACATCAATGTCCTGGAATTGAAGACCGTCTACTTGGCGCTGAGGCGCTTCTTGCCCTTTCTGCGGGGCAAGCATGTGCTCATCTGAATGGACAGCACCTCGGCAGTGTTCCACATAAACCATCAGGGGGGCACCAGGTCATTGCGATTGTTGAGGGAGGCTCAGACGCTGTTGACCTGGGCTTACCCTTGCTTGGCCTCCGTCAGGGCACTGCACCTTCCGGGGTGGAGGAACTCGGTGGCGGATTGCCTGTCCCGGCGGGGTCTTCCCCCGGAGGAATGGAGGTTGCACCCTCAGGTGTTGCAGAGGGTGTGGCATCAGCTCGGAGAGGCCCAGGTGGATCTGTTTGCCTCGAGGAGCAGCACGCATTGCCCCTTGTGGTCCTCCCTGGCAGAGGCCGACGCCCCTCTGGGGATGGATGCCCTCGCACATGCCTGGCCGTTGGTTCGGCTGTACGCTTTCCCACCTTTCCCATTGATCTTACCAACCCTCCATCGGATGAGGGACTCGTCACACGAGGTCCTTCTGGTGGCGCCAGACTGGCCCATGAGGGTCTGGTTTCCATTGCTTCTCAGTCTGCTGAACGGGGAGCCGTGGCGGTTGCCGGCGAGACGGGACCTCCTGTCTCAGATGGAGGGGAGGATTTGGCATCCATCCCCAGATCATCTTCGGCTCACGGTGTGGCCATTGAAGGGGGCAGACAGCCCCTAGTCGGCTTAGAGCCCTCCATCCAGCAGGTGCTGGATAGTGCCAGGGCTCTGTCTACAAGGGCCACGTACGCTCGCTGTTGGCAGCGGTTCTCTACCTGGTGTTCCGGCAGGAACGTGGACCCTGGTTCTTGTTCCCTGCATGAGGTTCTGCGGTACCTCCGGCACCTGTTTGACAAGGGCCGGGCCACCTCGACCCTTAAGGTACACCTGGCGGCTATTTCGGCCAACCACCTCTTGGTGGATGGCAGGAGCATTGGGGCTCACTGTTTGGTGACCCAGTTTCTGTGGGGCGTGAGAAGGTTGCATCCTGCCTTGTGCAGGCCGGCACCTGCTTGGGACCTTCCCCTGGTCCTGCAGGCCCTGTGTGGGCCACCCTTTGTGCTGATGACTACCGCCCCGTTGGCAGTGGTGTCTGTGAAAACCGCCTTTCTCTTGGCAGTGACGTCGGCTAAATGGGTCAGTGAGCTGCACGCACTGGACATCAGACCCGCCTGCCTGCGGTGGAAGGCAGATGGGTCGGGGGTGACACTGTGGCCCAACGTTGCCTTTCTTCCCAAGGTTCTGCCCTCTGGCTACGTAAATGCCGCAATCGAGCTGGGGGCGTTTTTCCCTCCCCCATTTCATTCGGAGGGACAAAGGCGGGCGAATTTGCTGTGCCCGGTCTGGGCACTGCAGCTCTATATTGTGGCCACAAACACTGTCCGGCAGTCGAACCAGCTGTTTGTCTGTCACAGAGGAGTGAACAGGGGTCGGGCCCTTTCGAAGCAGAGGCTGTCGCATTGGATCGTGGATGCCATTGCGACGGCTTATGCGGCAGTGGGTGCAGTGGCTCCCCCTGGGATCGTGTGCCATTCCACCAGGAGTGTTGCTACATCCTGGGCGGCGATGAGAGGTGTGCCACTGGCGGACGTCCGTACTGCGGCATCCTGGGCAACTCCGTGCACGTTTGCACGCTTCTACCGCCTCAACGTTGGCCACGGGTCCACGCTCGCTTCGGTGGTGCTGCCTCTGGCGGCTACCTCCTGAGTGAAGGTGAGTTTTATGTTCCTTGTGACACTGCTGTCATAAGTCATCCACTCTGTTTACTGCCACTGGCAGTCAGGAGGGAACGAAACAGAACGGAAGTTACTGTGTAACTATGGTTCTGAGTTCCTGGATAACTGCCAGTTACAGGAGTCACTCGGAACTTCTCGGGCGAGAAGATCCTGGGAGACCCGAACGTAGCTATCGGCGCGTAATTTATAGACTTGTTTACATTAGTACTCAACCTGCGCAGAGCGCGAGGAGATACATCCACTCTGTTTACTGCACTGGCAGTCATCCAGGAACTCACAGAACCATATAGTTACACCGTAACTTCCGTTAACCGTGGTGTTTTTGTATTTATCAGTGTGATTAGGGTGTATTTGTATTGTTTTTGAGTAAGAATATGAGTGAATGTTGTTTTTGTGCAGTGAATGTTATGTATCAAAGCTAAAAGTGAAGGCAAGAAGAAGAGCTGTTGATTCGTTGAGTTCCCGCAGCTGAATGAGCTCTAAGAGCTCTTATAGCTGTTTTACAGCCCTTTATATAGCCGGTATGTGATGATATACAGGTATAAGTTTTAATTTAATTTTATTTAAATTCTAATAATTCAAATTTAAATATCTTTTGATAGGAAGGTCATAGCGTAACAGGACCAAGTCCTGCCCCCCTAAATCACATACAGGCTTTACGTTGTGCACTCCAATTTGTTGTACGAGCTTTCGTTCCTGAGATACGCCCACTTTCACGTCACGTTTTGTGTATCACAGGAACTAAAGCTCGTAGAGACAAGTGGACACTTCTGGTGTGCTCAAAAGTGTTGCTATGTCAGAGCATGGTTGCAGTGCGCTGCAACCTTGCATTCCGGAGATACATGCGGTATTAACATTCACTCATGTTCTTACTTATCTTACAACGTTACGTCGTGGAGCCATGGGACCAAGCTGTACTCCCACTAAGCATGGAATCACGCATCCAATGGTGCCCTCTATTTCCTCGTCCTTTCCTTCAGATTTTAACGTCACCAAATCTCAAACTTTGATTGAGAGTAACTCTGGAATGGTACCTCGTAGAGCTATGGAACCAAGGTCTACCTGGTCCAACCTGGTCATTGCACATGCAGTGGTACCACCCGTAAGACTTTCCCTTTCCAAATTACTGTCAGACTTCATCAAAATCATGCTCGAATATGTCTGGACAGGAAGATTGTGCAGCCACGGGAATCTTTTCCCTCAATACCAGCCACGGGCTTTCCAGTGGTGTCATCCGCATTGTTCTATGACCTCCCATTGCCGAGATATCGAATCTCAAAACCAGGTATTAACCAGGTCCGAGTATTAACGAGGACTCCCTGCTTACGTTCCAATATGACCCAACGTCTACTACTGCAATGGGGATTTTTCGGGTGGCCATAACTCTTGATAGGAACGTCACAGTGCCACGGGACCCACCTCTACCCCCCTAAATCGGCCCTGGGCTTCTAACGACCTTCCCTTTCTGAGGTATGACCAGACCAATGTCTTTTTATTGATCTGTCAAAAGCCTTTGACACTGTAGACCATGTGTTATCATGTTGTGTCCCTTTGGTCCCCAGCCCCCTCCTGGTTTCCCTCATGTTCCCCCAGTCACTTCACTTGTTTTTAGTTTTCTATATGTTCAGATGATCTAGTCCCAGATAGCAAAAAACATTATTTCAATGTTTATTCAACCAATTCTTGCTATCTGGGGTCTTATCTCCTTTAGTGTGTTGGGTTTCCTTCCCTATTTAGGTCATTAGTTTACTTATCTTTAAATCTCCTGTGTCTTTGTTCTACAGTGTTTAGGTTTATTTTAGTTTAGTAGCTTTGTTTTACAGGATTTAGATAGTTTTCTCCCCTGCTTGTTTCTGCTCCTTCTCTCAGTTCATTAGTCTCACCTGTGCCCAATTTCCTTAATCATCCAGCCCCTGTGTATATAACCGTCTTGTCTCTGTGTTTTGTTGGTCCGTTGTCTTGTCAGCGTTGTTCTAGTTTCCCTTCTGTGCTCGCTAGGTTCCTGCTCATAAGTTTGACCTTTTGTTTTGGCTTTCAGTGGTTTGTATGCGAGGCTTAGATTCAAGCCCTTTGGATTTTTTGCAACTCCTCCTAAATAAAGGATTCTTATTTTTGCAATCACTCCTGCCTGTGTATCTCTGGGTTCTTGCATTTTGGGTTCAAGCCTCCTGCCCTCAACGTGTAAATGCTGTTTTAAAACAAAAGCTTCTTTGTTTGGGATTGTCTGAACATGCAATCCCATTGTTCACAGACTACTTCAAGGACATAACTCAATGCCTTAATTGTGATGGGTTGTCCCCTGAATTTTTTAGTGTTCACAAGGGAGTACCACAGGGCTCAGTCTTGGGACCCCTCTTGTTCATTATGTATACCAATGACTTATTACAAAATGTGTCGGATGCTTATATGCACTTTTACACTGATGACACAATCATTTACTGCTTTGGAACTTCCCCCACTAAAGCAGTTGAATTCTTACAGAAAGCTTTTGGTCCAACAAACACTTTGTAAAAATTTGAGCTAAACATATTTGGAATATAATTCATGAGAAGGGTCAATAACTGGAAAAATGAGATTGTTTTCATAAGAAAAGGGATCAGTTGAGCTGTAATGACCCTGTTTAATAAAACACAGCTGCTGTTTTTGTGTCGTGTTGCGTGAACGTGATTTTTTTTGTTTACAGTTAAATAATTTAAAACAATTTGATATGTTTGATATTTTGATTTATTCTAATAATTTCCCAAAAATGATTTAGAAACAACGTAAGTGAACGGAATGAAGAGATATTTATTATCAAAAAACAAACATTTGATGACTTGATCTTATTAACAGTACAAAAATGCAAAAGAAGAGCTTGTTTTTAAATCTGAATCTACTTTATGTCTGCATTGTTCCTTCTTTCACAATAGCTGAAGCCAGATTTCTGGCCAGGGCGAGTCTCAGCATCTCCACCTTGGTCACCTCTACGTCTTCCTCCTGAAAACAGAAAGACAGATTTTAAACGTGGAAACGGCAGTAGATAATCACTTTAACATCAAACTGGGTTTGGTTTGTGTTAAAACTATGAAACAGGAATGTCCAGCTGCTGGGACGAGCTGAAAGAAGAATAAAGACCTGCATGGGTCTGCCTGATCCAGAAGCAGCAGTGATCAGAGAGGAGGTGAGCTCCTCTAAGCAGTACATCAACTCATAGGTTTGCTCTGCAGAGAAGATCACCTGAAAACAAGGAGAACAAGTTACTCCACTGAAACTCCAACTGTTCGGATTTTTTCATCCACATAATAAAAAATGACAAATAGCTCAATTTTTGATATGCTAACTCTTACAAGAAACATGTTTAGTAGTCAGTTGGTTTAAATGGTAACTAGGCAGTTTTAGCACCCCCAAGAAATCTCCTCGCTGTGCGTTCGTCTTTTTAACACCTTAATCTAATAGCTGAAATGACTCCTCAGCCTTCATTAGTGTCTACAGGAGTGAGTCGTCACCAAATCAAACATATCAGATGTGTTCCCGATCCAAAACATGCAGGAAGCAGACTGCAGCGCCAGGTGTGTCAGCTCAATTTTTTACCGGCACTCTGGGGTTGCAAGTGGGATATTCTGCCACATGGGGGGGGGGGGGGGGGGGGGGGATGATAGGAGCTGTGTGGCCTTTAATTAATCTCAAAAAGGGTCATTTTAGCACAAACTGGCTCAAGAAAATGACTTCAAAATATGAAAAAGTTGCAAAGTGCCCCTTTAATAAAACAGGGGTAGTAATGTTCACATTAAAAATAACATACGGTAGTGTGTCACTCAAAAAAACTACATAAATTAATTAATTTTTAATGATGAATAAAAAGTTCCACAAATACCTACTTAAAGATAGATATTACTTATTCTATTTGTGCAGCATTTTTCATGCACACAAAACTCTGACCAGGAGGTCACAAATGATCTTAAACAGGATCAAAACATTCATTTAACAACATCTGAATGCTCCAGATTTGTGCATTTAACCCTCTAATGCATGAATTATGAGATCTTCAACCATGATTTTTTAAACAATTTGTTTCATTCATCTTTAGGTGTGAATTAAACAAATTTCAACAAATATTCTTTGTAACATTTTGTTAATTTACAAATACTTTATTACATGTCTATCTCAGTGGACAGCGTGCATTCTGAACATGAAATATGTTGGCTTGCCTTACTGAAGTCCAACTGGAGAGGCTCACATGCAATAAAGTCTTCAACAGCTGTGCTTAATAGCAAAAATAAATAAATAACTATTTTGAGTACCTGTCCACTGTAGTGACCATTATGCATCAAAGGGATAAACTAAAGTTCTTGATTTTGTAATAACAAATCTACTTTAAACCGATGTTCAGGTGTGGACTGACCTCTTTCTGCTCCAGCAGAGGCAGAGCATCCGTCAGCAGCGTCATCCAGAAGCTTTGGGGAGCGATTTTAGCCGTCATGAGGGAGAGTAGCAGCTTTGCAGCATCGCTGAAGCACTTCTCTCCGTATAGCTTGTGGAACTCACGGTATTTTCCTGGAGAGAATCATTTCTATCAAATCATCCTCCAGAAATTCTCACCATCACATGTTGTTGCATCAAGCGGATACTGGTTCTGTTTCTATTAGTCTTGTGTGTGTGTGTGTGTGTGTGTGTGTGTGTGTGTGTGTGTGTGTGTGTGTGTGTGTGTGTGTGTGTGTTCAGGCTCCTACCAAGGAAGGTTAGCCTGTCGCTGAGCAGCATGGTTGAGCCCAGGTTGTCGATCAGATCCAGATCAGAGAAGGTGCCTTTGGCGCAGTAATCCTGCAGGAACCTAAAACACAAACACAAAAACAACTTCAAATCATTTTCAGAGAGAAAGACATTTAGTGAACTAATAAGCCCAACAGTGATACTTATAAAAAGCTTAAGAAGCATGTAGGTAAAAGTTAAATGTGTTCCTGGAGAATGAAGATGAAGCTGTCAGTTGTGTATATTTCAGTAAGAGCACCACTAAAGGGATGTGACCTCTCTGAAATCAGGGTGGCAAACGCAGCATCTTTGGCTCGGATGCTCCAGGAGAGAGCAGAGCCCAGTCGGTTGTTCCTTACAGCCCGCATGGCCATGATCTTACAGATGCTCCGCACTGGGACCAAAACAACAAAAAACAAACCAGGTCAAGCTTTTCCAGCCTAGCTTACACCAGAGAGATTAGCTTTGTGACACAAAGTGATAAAAAGGACGACCGAGCCCCTACCCTGCTCTGACATCTGCCTCTCCTCACAAATTCGGAGCACTTTGAGCGCTTTGCGCTCCGTGTCCAAAGGAACTCGCTCGATCTGCAGCTCCAGATAGACGCGGCCAAATTCTGGGCAGTGATCGAAATAATCCACGGCACACTGCCAGAGACTAAAAACACACAGAAACATCTGGTTAGTGAACGCTAAAATAACAGAGAACGACTCATATTTCAATGTTTGGATCCAGTTCGATGATTGCAGGACATTTTTTTGTCGTCGTTGAGTTTCTGTGTGACTGAAACCCAAAACACAAGTGTGCCACTAGACAGTCCCTCAGGTGTAAACATGTTACTGTGTGGTTAAACGGTCACAAGGGAGCCATACCTGTGATGCGTGAACAGACCAGAGGCGTATTCTAACAGCAGGAACTCTCTCAAGTTGGATCCAAAACTACACACACACACACACACACACACAGATTAGATTAATTAACTGTGTAATTTTATCCTCTCTGGATTAAAACCAGATAAAAGAAATCATCCCTACTGGAGATTATGAGACTGGAGAAGTTTGCAGTGATCCAACAGGTCTGTTAAATGAGCCACAAACCACCAGTTGTTGAGAGCAATACTGCGGGGACAAGGGAGACGCCGACCGTTCAAGGACTCGTGAACTGACTTGTTAAGCACCTTGAATGTGATTAATATGGTAGACCCTGTCGGTTACCTGCAGTCCTTGATGACCTGATGAATGTCAAACTCAAAGGCAGCCAGCAGGATGCTGTCCAACGGCTCCGGCACGCCCGAATCCAGAAACATCATCATAGACGACTGCAGACGACACAAACACACGGGTCAGGTAAACTACATGTGCTCAGAGTCAGTGCTGCAGACTCGGGGGCTACCTGAGCGTAGTAATGCAACTCTGTGGGCTTCACTGTGGGATGGCAGTAGAGGAGTCTGGTGATGAGGAAGTAGTACCAGGTGCTGAGAAGTTCCTTGTGCTCCAACAACACGTCTTCATCCCCCAGTAGGATCTAAGGTTGCATCAACACCCTGTTTGATTCAGTTCACATCAGAAAACGTGACCAAACCACAACTCAAGCTGTCACTGACTTTGCAGATGACCTCCAGGTGTGGGTTGCTTGCAAATGAGTTATCCTTCAGGTAGCGGTCCACCTCCTCGTGCCAGTTCCTCCACTTCACATCAAACTCTGTTAGTGTCTGAGTGCCGCCAGGCTGAGAGGGGTTTTTGGAAAATGTAGGAAATAAAATCAGCAGAGTCATGTTTTAATATTTAACAATAAGCAGAAGTTTAAAAAGCAAGTTCACTTGCTTTGAATAGATTAGCAGTGATCACTAGTGTAGACAAATGCCTTTAGAGTCAATCACTGTGGAGAAATAGCTCCGGTGCTCCTGTTTCAGGAACAAGAAGTTAGCCAGAGGAGTAAAGAACAGAAGAATGAGGGTTTATTAAATAAGTTCATTTTGTATTTGTTATAAAATAAAATTACTTCTTTTTTTAATAAGACAGTTTAAAGAAAACATTTTAGAAGCCTGAGGGCTTTGGAGTCTTATTTCCTGATGCTCTGACATTTCAGCAACACGACTCTATCACTGACTGTTACCGTTGCAACATTGATGTTTTATCCCAAATAACACAAGCCTGGAGGAGTTCTGCTGTGTTGTGGAGTTACTAATGCTAACGGTTAGCTTCTACTAGTCTCTGCCGCTTCCTGGACACTAAACCAACAACAGCCGTAATGAGCCACGATGAATGCTAAGTTACAGTGTGACAGAGATCTTTGTGGCTTTTCTGATCCAAGCGTTTCCACGTCAGTTTTCTATTGAGAGTCTTGATAAGTTTTCTCCTCAGTGAGGCCCACCACATGTGTCCTGGACCCTATTCCCACTAGTTTTTTTTAAAACAATTCTGATTCTTTTAGAGATGCGGTTTTAACTATGATGAATTGCTCTCTTCAGACGGGGGTCTTTCCTGCCGCTTTTAAATGGGCGGTGGTGAGGCCCCTGCTGAAGAAGAGCAATTTAGGTTTTAATGACTTAAACAATTATCAACCGGTTTCCAACTTACCATTTTTAAGCAAAATTTTTAGAAAAGCTTGTTTTAATTCAACTTAATGATTTTATCAACACCCATAATATCTTAGAAAAATTTCAGTCTGGTTTTAGGGTGAACCACAGCACCAAGATGGCCCTTCTGAAGATTTTAAATAATTTTAGAGTAAATTATGCTAAACGGAAGGTGACTGTGTTGGTTCTCCTGGATCTAAGTGCTGCCTTTGATACAGTAGTATTCCTTTAACTCTGAAACGGATCGGCCGATGGTTCACTTCCTACCTCACAGACAGGACTTTTATGGTGAGTTTGGATACCTGATCCTCTAGGGTTCACGGGATTACATGTGGTGTGCCCCAGGGTTCAATTTTAGGCCCAGTGCTTTTTAACCTTTATATGCTCCCTCTTGGCAGTGTCATCAGGACACATGGGGTGAATTTCCACAGTTACGCGGATGATACACAGCTGTACATCTTGGTGTCTCCTGATGACACACAGTCAATGGATGCACTTTTTAACTGCATTTTAGACATCAAATCCTGAATGGCAGGAAACTTTCTCCAGCTTAACCAGGACAAAACTGAAGTTTTAGTAATCGTCCTGAGGCCCAGAGAAAGAAACTTTTACCAAAACTGCAATCAGTGCCTTTTAATCCATCTTCACAAGTGAAGAACCTGGGTGTCATCTTTGACTCTGAGCGGACTTTTATCCATCATACCATACCATACATTTATAAAGCACATTTAAAAACGGCATGGCAGCCGACCAAAGTGCTGTACAGAATAAAAAGTAAAAACACAATATAAAACAATACACAGTCAACAATAAAATGCACAACAAGGCAGATAATCACGGTCAATAAAAGACACATAATAAAATAATAAAAGTCAGGGATTTAAAAATGCCTGGTCATAAAAGTGAGCCTTAAGTAGCGACTTGAACCGGAGGAGGGATGGTGCCAGCCTCACTGAAAGAGGAAGAGCATTCCAGAGTGTCGGAGCAGCATAGACAAAAGCACGCTGCCCCCGCGTTTTGCATTTCATTGTTGGAACGCAAAGCAGCAGGCAATCAGCAGACCTCAACGCCCGGTTTGGCACATAACGAGTCACAAGATCAGAGAGGTAATCCGGAGCCAGACCGTTCAAAGTCAGGATTTTAAACTTGACTCTGAAGTTTACAGGTAGCCAGTGGAGCCGCTCCAGTACAGGTGTGATATGGTCTCTTCTAGGGGTGTTTGTTAAAAACCTGGCTGCCGCATTCTGTACGACCTGAAGCCTGAGCGGAGGCAGGTAAACCAATTAAAATGGAATTTGCATAATCCAGTCGGGAGATGAAAAAAGCATGAATTACAGATTCCAGGTGTGCTCGTTTCAGGATCGGTTTTAAGCGGACTAGTCTGCGCAGCTGATAAAAACACGATCTGACCACTGCGTTAATCTGAGGGCCCATGGAAAAGTTTGTATCCATTTTCACCCCAAGGTTGGTAACACACTGCTTGAGGTCATATGGGAGAGTGGCCAAATCAGAAGATACGTGTGTGGTTTTGTTAGGGGTCATCAGGAGTGCCTCCGACTTAGAATCATTCAGCTTAAGGAAATTGTTGGCAAGCCAAACCCTCACTTCAGCCAAACATTGGTCCAGAAGAGAGAGGGAGCCTGGTTTGTTCAAAGCCAGGTAGATCTGGCAATCATCTGCATAAATATGATAGCCCAAGCAATATTTCCTCCGGATGAAATCCAGGGGGAGGATGTAAATTGAAAACAGGAGAGGCCCAAGCACAGATCCCTGCGGGACTCCCCATGGAAGTGGAAGGAATGTAGAGGAACAATTACCCAACTGAACCTTGAAAACTCTGTTTGACAGGTATGAGCAGAACCACTGAAGTGAGGTACCCCTAAGCCCTACCCATGACTCAAGTCTATCCAGCAATATATCGTGGTCAACGGTATCAAATGCTGCAGAAAGATCTAATAGTAGGAGTAAAACAGGCGACCCAGAGTCAGAAGCCACCAGGATGTCATTGGTCACGCGAAGAAGGGCTGATTCAGTACTGTGAAGTGGCCTAAACCCAGACTGGAACACATCAACCAGAGAAAAGCTATTCATGTGTGCTGTAATCTGTGAATAATCTTTTCGAGGACCTTAGACAAAAACGGTAATTTAGAGATTGGCCGAAAGTTTGCAAGGTTTGAGCTGTCCATACCAGTTTTTTTTAATTGGTTGCACAACCGCCTTTTTAAAAGAAGTAGGAAACACCCCAGTAGCCAAGCTAGAGTTAAAAATGTCTAAGATGGCGGGGCCCAAAATAGGGATGATCTCACCCACCATCCTCGGGGGGAGAGGGTCCTCAGGAGAACCTGCTGGTTTCATATTTCCAATCAGATCTGACAATTCACTAAGAGATATGGGAGTAAAGTTACAGAATGAGGGAGGTTCTGGTGGTACATCAGGACAGCCAGATGGTTGCACAAGACTATCCCTAATGTCCCGGACTTTGTGAAGAAAGAAGGTCTGGAGCTCAGCACACAATGACACAGAGGGATCAACACTACCAGGTTCAGTTATTGACAAGATGGAGTTGACAGTGCTATAAAGTTTATGCTGAGAAATTATGCATGCAAAGTATTTGTTCCTGGCAGATCTAACACTTCTCTGATACAGGTCAAGGGCATCCATCAGAAGCTGCTGTGAGATTAGTAGCTTGTCCTTTTTCCACCTTCTTTCCAGCGCCCTACAACGCCGCCTGAGGCTGCGTGTTTCATTGTTCAGCCAAGGATCAGAGGTGGTTTTCTTCCGTTTAAGTTTAAGGGGAGCGACTGAGTCCAGGGCAACAGAACAAGTCAAATTAAAAGAATTTAAAAGCCAATCCACATCCGTGGTGATCCCAGATGAGGAAGGATTGGATAATTCAACCTCCAGGATGGACAGTAGTGAGGCAGTTGTGGAGGGAGAGATGTGCCTTGAGTAGCGAGGAGCCTGCCTTCTCACCACAGGCAACATGGCAGAGATGTTAAAAACAACTGAAAAATGATCTGAAATACTGACAGGATGAACAACCAAGTCCTGCACCTTCAGTCCAAATGATAAAACTAAATCCAGTGTGTGAGAGTGCTCATGAGTAGGAACATTGACCAGTTTCTGGAGGCCAAATGAAACCAGAACATCTGAGAAATCTCTCACCAGAGGATTCGACAGACAACAAACGTGAATATTAAAATCACCAAGGATAATACCTTGGTCGTACCTGGGGAGATATTCAGCTAAAAGGTCAGAAAAGTCCGTAATAAAAGCAGAGTTATATTTTGGTGGTCGGTAACACAGAATAAAAAGAATTGGAGGGGAGAGACTGAGTTCAAAAACAGAGACCTCGAAGCTGGTGGGGGTGATGAGCCCGGGAGGCGCTTGAGGGGGAGGGAGGATGAGTACATAGTCAATAGGCCCCCACCTCGACCCGACAGTCTGGGCTCATTCACAACAGAATTTGACGGACAAAGTTCAGCAAGTGTCGCTGACTCACCCGGTGGGACCCACGTCTCCATCATGCAGAACAAAGTTAATCCATTATCAATAAAAAAATCCTTTAAAAGCACTGTTTTATTCCCCAGCGAGCGAACATTTAGTAGAGCAATCCTGAGAGAAGATGAGGAAGTTGAGGACAAACAGGGGCGAGGACGCTCTTTGCCGGACCTCACAGGATAGGTTAGATTCCTCCAGTTTACCCCGCCAATACGACGCCTCCGTTTGGATCCCCAGCTGACAGGATCGCTGTCATGCCTGTGGAGAATCTGGATGTTGTGTTCCGAGAAATCATCAGGGAACCAGACCCAAACCCGGGAAGAAACGTTGCCACTGGACTGGCACACCCGGGAAGCTCGGAGCTGGACATGAGCGCCACTACGCCTGCCGCTTCCATCGCGGCCCCACCAGGTCGCAGGCGGAGGACAGGAGGAAGGGCGGAACTCCATCAAACAGGTTCCCAAACGATTGCTTGAATGAGGCATAGTGAAGTCTGCCGGAGATCCAGAAGAGTAGCTCGGTCATAGGTGAGGGTGGGACAGGAATCAGCCACTGGGAGACTCAAAAACAGTGACAAAAGTACAAAAAGCACAAACGGCAAACCAGACGGCAAGCCACAACAGACGGCGCCATCATATTAAAAATATCACAAAAATAGGTTTTCACCATCTAAAGAACATCACCAGAGTCCGCCCCATTCTCTCTCGGGCCAATACGGAGACGCTAGTAATGCATGCTTTTATCACCAGTAGGATAGACTACTGCAATGCCCTGCTTTCTGGTCTTCCTAAAAAGAGGACTTCAGGTCTACAACTATTACAAAACTCAGCAGCACGTGTCCTGACGAAGACCAGGAAGCGGGAGCACATCACTCCAGTTTTAGAATCACTGCATTGGCTCCCCGTATGTTTCATGTGTGTATGTGTGCCGGACAATGAGTGTTGTGAAGGGGTTTTTATTCTCAGACTCTTCTTATAATTCTGGGGATGGGAGGGAATGTGGGTATGCGGGGCCTTTTTAATTTGTTAAGCACTTGGGAGTTACATGCATTGTATGATTAAGTGCTATATAAATAAAGTTTGATTTGACGGCTAATGCAGGAAGAAGGGGTAGAAGATCTGCATGTTAAACTCACCCGAGTGACCAACTGTATCTCAACAATAACAAAACTGGTTTAGTCTTTAAATAAAATGGTAAACTGCTGAAAATTTTAGATACAAGACTCCTGAAATATGACACTTTAGGGGAAGGGTTGATTTTCTTGTGTTGGGTGCATCGTGTTTAGGTGTGTGAAGTCGCTACAAACTTTAAATACAAAAAACATTTGATCTATTTCAGAAAATGTCAAAAGCTATTAAGAAAAACTAAGCCAAAAGGCCAAGGTGAAAGACTAAGGTCTTTTAAATGTCAGGTCAACTTTAGCATTTTAGGCTTTTTGTTGAGACAACAGAAAATGTGGTAAAATACATGGTGCTCACATTATAGAAGGGCATCTTGCTTAGCAGGCTATCCATCAGCTTGTACATGCTCTTGGCAGCAGGTTGCAGCATCGCCTGTTTCATCAGCATCTTCCTAGTGTCTTCCAACCTTCCCTGTAGCACATAACTTAAAACCTGAAACACACAAAACGCAAAAAATGAGATCTCCCACTGTAGTCTGTCAGGAAAGAACATATTATTTAAAGAACAGGGATTAAATAAATGATCTAAGAGGGTTTTTACAGCACATACCACATCCCAGTAGTCACGATGCTCAGCAGGGCTGTCACTCTGCAGCACCCCCTTCGCCTTCTCATCCACATCGGATTTATGTAACCTCACCCAGTCCAGAAGGTGTAGTAGGAGGGAACCAGCTGAGAAGACACACACACATCAATGCATTGTTTTTTGAGCGTGTGTTCATAATCTCAAAGTCAAATACTCTAAGAAAAAATGTTTTCCGAAAAGAAAAAGAAGAATTAAGACTAATCAGCCTCTGACCTGGAGCAGCATCAATGAAAAGCACTTCACACAGATTCCAGATCAGTTCTATGGCCAACAGGATGGACACCTGTGACAGGAAAAATCAGATGGACATCAGAAAAATGGACCAGAGAATAAAAATGTTATGTCATGTGTACTTAGGACCTTACGTCATGAACTAACTGCATGGTGAATATATTTAGTTAAACTCCAAGACAAAACATTTTAAGTACATGCCTGATTTCCGTACTGTGTGGCCATATCTGTGTCATTTGCAGAAACTGTACAAAATGCATAATAATGGAGTTTATTATTCTTGCATAAGATTGCTCAGAACATGTTTTTAGTAAAATTCAAGACAGCTCACCTGCAGCTTGCTGAAGCTCTTCCATACAGGCTCGAATCACAGACCTGTAGTTTCTGCTGATGCTTACAAACCTGTAAAGAAAATCTCAGTTATCATAAGTAACATTTATCTGCTCATTTTAACTTAAAAGCAGGGTGTACAGTGGTGGAGGACCCCGTGGGGCCTTCTTACTGTGGTTTTTTGCTCTTGCTTGGGAGATCATCTTTGATTGTCTGCAGTCCAACAAAGATGTGATGCGACTCGTTAAAAAGTTTTCTTAAGATGGGGGAATAGATGTCCTCGTCTTTCCGCACCACGTGGATGAAGGCACAACCTGACCCTGTAGGTCCTGAAACAAAGAAAACACATTACACAAAATGCATCAAAAATACAGTTTAAAAAAAAGCACTTGAGGCAGGACTTTGATTTAAAAACTCCTTCTACCTGATGCTTTGTTTTGTGTCTCATACACAAGTATATCACCAGGACCCCATGCAAATCCCATACGCTTCCCAGGTCTGATTCCAGAAATATTCTGCATTTAAAAAAACACAACATTTTATGAAGTACAAAGAGATATTTTATTAAACACTTTAATCAAGCAAAACCTTGCATTTCTATAAAATTAGTATTATTAAATAGTTGACCCACTTCAAACTATAAAGAATGTCAATGTTGCCCCATTTTTAACTAATGAATACCATATAACAAACACATCAACCAACTCGTACAGGCGTTTACAAGCTAATAATAACACTTCCCTCACCTACGTTTGAAGTCACTCGCACAGTGATTATCCTTTATTGCGCGTTTTACTAAACCCAAAATAAATTGTTGGTTTCGTGATTTCAGAAGGTTGTTGCGGTTCCGCTAGCTTGTTAGCAGTAGAGTGGCTATTAGCAGTAAAAACCATGGTAAAAACACACAAGAGACAACTTACAGTAACTACCGGCTCAACGTCTACTTCCTCCATCTGGTAATAATGTTTCTGATGCAAAGAAAATATAAAATACAAACTATTCAGCTACAAAATATACATTAAATACATGTGATGCTCTCATCTGCTATTACGCGCCGTGGTTCATGGGTGCTTGAAATCCACTATTGCGCATGCGTCACGAAGGGCTGCCCTTTCTAATGCCTGTTTTTTAATCGACTGCTGTTAATAAAGCAAATAAAATTGTCCCTCTCATATACATTGGAATTAGATAATTCGTAACGCATGATTACGCAATAAAATGTGGTTATGTGGAGTCGGATTTACCTTTAATATTAATTCACTCAAAAACACAAACATTCCCACTGGAAAATGTTTATAAAGAGCACTTCTGTGAAATATCCTATAACCTATAACTGAACTGAAGTTGCTTTTAGGCATATTTAGTGAAACAAGATGGCCGCTGGTAAACAGGGATAAGACCAGTAACCTGGGTATCATGTCTTCCAAGTTTGGATACCACGCAGTAGAGGGATGTTGACTAAACTTCCCGACGCAGACGTGAAGTAATTCACGCAATAACTGTCTCATTTGATAATGTCTACGTTCATAAAGCTTAAAGCAAAAGGGAAAACATCGCTGTGCGCGTGCATGTGGATTATAGCGCCTCTGTGACGCGCTCGCGGGACTCTCCCGCCCATCACCAGACCGCGCTTTCACCTCGTGACCAATTTAAGCAAATGAGTGTCGGCCAAGGTGGACGCGCACGGATACAGGGTCGCGCACGTTTGCAAGATTATTTTAAACGGGCACGAGTACGTGCGCGTGCTCGTATTCTTTGTGTGGCAGCGTAGAGAAGCGCCAAAAGAGTGACCATGGCTGATGAAAAACCAAAGGTTAGTGTCTCCATTATGTCGACTGAGTTTTTTTTACCCGCTTTGGAATGTAGGAACTTAAAAGGAAGAAGCACAACTCCGCATGTTGCGTTACAGACCATTTTAAAGTTGCTTGATACAATTCACCTAGCTGCTACTTTGATAGACCGGAAGGTTTGTGAGCGCGCATCCGCAGGCGCGCATTCTCCTTCCTTCCTCTTGATAACATACAGACGACCAGCTGGTGTCGTCCTCAGTCCAAAAGTCATGTGAGTTTGTGTTGATCTGGGAAAAAGATTTCAACTAGCTTGTGTAAATTAGTGCAACATTTTTGTCTGCACTCAACAGTTTCATATTTCTTAAAAATAAAAAGGTCACATTTTTACAACTACAGAATCTTCATTCACTCTGTGCCATGATTTACTAATATTTAAAACTTCTGTTACATTAATATTAAAGTAAAAGATCCAACTTTGGGTTGCATTAAGTTGTGACAAATGATTTTGATTAATATAATAATGTTATTGTTAATAGTAATAATAGTTATTTTTATTGATAACAAATCTGTAGAAGTGGAGACGCACAGATTGTGATTTTGAGGACCAATGCCAATTTTGTCTGATTTATTTCAGTTAACTATGATCATCGTTTTATTGTTGTTTACTTGAAATTCGTAATTTTGTAGATAAAAATTCCTAAATTATCAATTTGTTATTGATTCCTTGAATTAGTGATTATTGGTTTATGGGCAGGTGGGAAGAATTTTGAGCATCAGAATTACAAATCATGCTGAAAATCGCCCTATTCATTTCACACCACCAGCTGAATTTATTTGATACGTCCCAAAATCTAACTTAGCAGTAGTTTATTTTTAAATGAAATTCACAATTCCATCTTAATATTGCTAAATCTTTCTCATTTTAACTGTACAAAAGGCTGCTAACAGGTTTTGCCTCTGTTTAAACTGCTTTATACTAGAAAATTATCCAGCATTTTAAATAGTCTTACAAGGTATGCAAGGTATTGCACTTTTTGTTAACTGGTTATTTCAGTTTAACAAAGGCATTAGATAGTTATCAGTTTAACGCATTGAGCTATGAATGCATCATTTTAATGGATATGTCCAATTTCTTACACAGGAAGATCTAGCTATTATTATGGTTTTCTTACACAAACAGGCACTTTGTTTTATTCATTACATATAAACAATACTCTGATTCAGAGGAACGGAAGAGCCACAGGTTTCAGACCCATAAAAGTCATATATTCGCCACAGGGCTATTCAAATTATACAGTTGTGAAGTATTATTAAATATCTCAACAATTATATTATTAACATTAAGTAAGGCTGTACAATTAAATAAGTTTGTATTTATTTTTTAAATGAGCACCTAAGGATCACAAAAACAGCATAACTGACAAAAACATTTATTAGTAAATAAAATTGTCACATTTAGCCTTGACAGCACGCTTTTATTTTGTATTTCCTTTTGAAATTCTTCTTCTGCACTTCTTCACTCCAAAAGCTAAACTGTCACCCCCCCTTAAAGTTTAGAAAGTCAGAACAAGAATGAGGAAACACTAGGGGTCTCATTTATCAGATATTGCGTATAATCCTTACTAAAACCGGAAGCTCAGCAAAAAAAGTACTTAAGCCAAGTAGGTTTGTGATCTATCAAACATGGAGTACGCACAGCTGCACGCAATCTCCGCTTCATAAATCGGAGACTAACGAGAATGTTTCTCAGCTGAATTTTAGTCATATCCCGCCCTCACCACGCCCACTTACTGCCATAAATAGTCAATGCAAAGTGCCTTGTGGATCTCATGTATATACATAAGCAGGCTTGTTGCAGCGCTCCGCCATCAGCATGGTGACCGTAGATCAAGGAAGATCAAGGAAGCACTATTTCACAGAAGCAGGAATTGAGGTACTTGTGGGTGAGGTGGAGAAGTGAAAGGAAGTGCTTTTGCAAAACAAATAAGAGAAAATCCACGGAGTGGCACAGCGTTGTTGAAGCCGTCAATGTTGTGAATTCTTCAGAGAGATCTGTGGCGGATATTAAAAAAATGGCCCAATCGGGATCCGATCCCCAGACTCCCGGGTGAAAGTCACGCCCGCTAACCAGTCAGCCAAACGGAGGTCTCCCCTGTACGAGTAGCCAGGGCGCATGATCAATCGGGTCACAGTGACAGGACACACTGTCACAGACGCATGACATTCTGTCTCAATCTGTCCCCCTGCTGATATTCTGCATTCCGTATTCTGCGCTTCAGGCTGTGTGTGTGCTCGCGCGTATATGTGTGCATGTGGGAGGTCTTGTTCTGTGTGGGAACGAAGCAGTACAAGTGATAATGCTGCAGGATTTCATAATTTTATCCTTTTCAGCAGCAGCAGCATTGCAGGTGCTCTCCATGTCCAAAATGTGTGAAAGCAAGGTCCTTAGTCAACTTAAAGTTGCGCACATTTTTCTGCTAAGTTTTCTTTCATAAATCCCAAAGTTTGCGTGGAAAGTTGCTTACGCAGTTTTTCCACCCTGTTTTGTGCGGAAGCAAGCTTGATAAATGAGGCCCCAGCTCCATGCGACATACGTTATAAAACCACCTTTGTTTTCAGTAGAATTCCTCATGTTTTGTGTAGTGATCTTTCTCTAATTCCAACACTCTTATAAAAAACACTTTTATTTACTGACATTTGGTTTGGATGTCAGTGCTTCAGTAGCAGCTTTTCTCTGTTTTATTAAGGGCCCTATCTGTCCCCTATTTTCAACTATACAGCTCAACTCTGCCACCTGCTGGTATAAGTTGGTAAATGCACTCTCCTCATTGTTTATGACTGAAGATTTTCTTTTATAAAAACTTTGTGTTTTAAGACAAAGTTTAATATATATTTCTGCTAAAAATGTAAAAAAATGCAACAATTTATTCATGAAGGACTTAGTTAATGGAAGACATGATAAACAGTGTAGTGCTCTGGGTGTGGCTATTTCAGCTCCTGGTGTGTTTTTCTCTGTAGAAGAAAAATTAATTCGGTGGTTCATAACTCAACTCAACAAGTCAGCTTGTTGAATAATTAGGATTTAAATATTGACCAAAATAATCTCGGTTTTACCATTGTGTGTGCATCACCTTCATTCACTTTTAAGATAATTTTGTAGCTTCCAGTGAAGAAATCACAATTCCAGCTCTGAATCCTACTTTTTATTCACTTCTTCTGATTTTTGCTGGTTTTTTTGTTTGTTTGTTTTTTTACTCAGGAGGGAGTCAAGACAGAAAACAACGAACACATAAATCTGAAGGTAGCAGGTCAGGATGGATCTGTTGTGCAGTTCAAGATCAAAAGACACACACCACTTATCAAACTCATGAAGGCCTACTGCGAGAGACAGGTGAGCACCACCTGATGGTTGTAAACAAACACCGGGAGGCTTCACTTCATTAAACAACAGTCATTTCATTTACTTTTATTACATGCATTTAATGATCTGTGTTTCTTATCAGTGTGTTAAGGTGGTATTGACACATTCCTGCTATTATTTGGTCACAGAACCATCAGTAAACGTATCAGTTACATCTGATTTGATTGTTTTTCCTGCTTGTCAAACATTTGTCATCAATGGAATTAAGAGAATGTTTTAGTAACATTTTGATATTTTAAAGGTGTGTTTACTCATTTGCAGTGTTCTCTAGTGTAAATCATTGCCTTATGAGTCATTATTAGGGTTTTAACGGTTCACGGGGATGTTGAACGTGTTAATGGCGTGATTTAAGTGCAGCGGATAAAAGTTCCTAGGTGAGTTTCTGCACGAATGCTGTAATGCGTGACGCATGATGGCTGCACGCACCCAATCTCTGTTTAAAAAATCCATTTTCATCCGCTTATCCGGAGTCGGGTCGCGGGGACAGTAGCCGGTCATACAGGGACCTAACAGCCCGTATCAGAGGGCCTGGTACCCCATACTCCCGGAGTACCCCCCACAGGGCCCCCCGAGGGATGCAGTCAAACGCCTTCTCCAAATCCACAAAACACATGTAGACTAGTTGGGCAAATTCCCACGCATCCTCCAGGATCCCCCTAAGGCAGGGGTGTCAAACTCAAACTCACAAGGGGCCGAAATGAAACTCTGGGACGGAGTCGAGGGCCAAACTTAATATTTTTTTAAATAGTGACGGCAAATTTGCACATTTTCTTTATCAACATATATGCAATTTTGAACCTTTAAATTTGGAAACAAACTTATTTCTGCATTAACACTGAATGTGGAATAACCAAATGACACACGAGCAAGTCAGTTTTAAATAAAAGGCATCAGTGGTATTCATTACTTGAGGTATAATCAGCATTTTTAAAATCTTTTACATCTTTAAGTCTTTTCTCACGGGCCAACAACAAAATAAAAATATAATTTTATTTTAAATGAAAATGCAACATCTCACCTGTTAACTTTCATGTTTTGGAGCAGAAAAAGAGCATAAAACCAACATATTTAAAGCTCAGTTTGCTCCACTGGTTTACTGTGATGCTCACCTGTTCCAGCCAGATACCTGCATCTTGGGGTTGATTTGAGCTGAGGAGGAGACTCCTGTTGTTTTGTTCATCTTCATCATAATAATGACAACATTAGATGACAACAGCTGCTCACATAGGTTTGTGCTGATGAACATGTCTGAGCATCTTGACCACGTTGTTGTGTGTCGTGGAGGAAACACAACGACAGCAACCACAGAGTCATGCTGGTTTGAGCGTGTCGCTGCTCGCTGGAGTTATATCAGCTCTGTCTGGACGTTAGTTGGAAAACTTTCTCTTTCAGTCGTGAACACATTACTGAGCGGCTAGAATCTCCATTTCTGGGCTTCAACGTCAGAAAATAGCTGAGTGAGAGGAGTGTAGTTTGTCCGAGACAGCGGAGCTGCAGACACCGGCAGCAGGCGCTGGAAAAACACAAAGGAGGGGGCGCGTCGGCTCCGCGCTGATGCCGCAAAGCATCATGGGAGTTGAAGTCTTTGCGGTAAAATCGGCCAGCGGGCCAGTTTTAATATATTTTTGATATTTATCTCGCGGTCCACATAAAAATGCTCCGCGGGCCACATCTGGCCCGCGGGCCTTGACTCTGACATATGTGGCACATATGTCAAAGGGCAGCACAGACATGTATTAGTAACAACAGGACAAGGATTAAAACAAGAAGAAATAGAGATAAAAACAGCATACAAATTGCACTAATGAAAGAAAACACAAGCAGACTAACGGCCGCGGGTAAAGGCCAGATCAAATAAAAAGGTCTACAGCCTGACCTTGAAAACTGTCACCGATAGTGAAGCACGTATGTCATAGCGTAACTCTTTCCAGAGTTTTGGGCCTGCCACAGAAAAAGCCCTTCTCCTCTTGTCTTGGAACTGTGAGCAAGAGACTATTGTCTGAGATTCGCCACAATGATGTCAACAAACAAAACGGTCAACTATAAATTTAATAGTGAATGTCATTTATTCTACGAGAATTTTGTTAATCTCGCCTGCTGCGGCACCTTCGGTGGCTGCTTTCTGTCTTTCTGCTTGAGGAACATGCACATAGTTGCCATCCAGATCAGCATTGGAGTCAGAATCACCAGAGAAAGAAGACATTATGACGAGTCAGCAACGTAGCTCAAACGTTTAGGAGCATTTTACAAAGTCAAAAGAGAAGCACGTGCTGTGCAAAATCTGCTAAGTGAAACCCAACTTTCACGGGAGCACATCGGCGACACCCGAGCACCTTAAAAGGAAGCACATCATGGCGGAGAACGAAGAGTCTTCTCTGTCAACTAATTACTTTTTGTTAGCTTAGCTGCTAACAATGTACGGCTAACAGAGAGTTACTTATTATAGGTGTATAAGCAACAACAATAGTGATGGTGATTTTATTACCTTTAACATGTAAGTCATATATTTGCTCTTCTGTTACAACTGCTAATGATTTATTTTATCCCGCTACATTACAGTGTGAAAAAATGCACTCCTCTTCAATAGTTTGTTACAAAGCCAAAAATGCCTGTTTTAGCAAGATACATCTGTGAACACAAGTCCTTTTTGTGTACAACTTAGTCTTGGATTTAGGTGCCTACCTCCATCTGACTGTAGCATTTTTATTAAGAGGTTACAAAGTGAATTAAAGTTGTTCGATAAGCTATCATCTTGTCTTTATTATTTGTACTTCAAACTAGAAGCTAATGATGGGTATATTAGAGCACCCTGGTGGAATAAGCTATACTTTTATGTAGGTATGCCACAATACCACTTTTTTCCAAACTGAAACAATACCGATGGTGATATAAGAGTCACAGAACGTTGCACGCTAGGATGATGTCGACGCCAAAACAAAGCGGAGACTCACCTCTTACATCAGGAAGAATCCGCGCATTTCGAGCCTTATCCATTCTTTCATAATCCGTTGTTGAATTGTGATCGGCAGAAGCTTTTCCGGTGCGCGCCTCACTTTTTTTTACAGCAGCGGCCCAAAACGATCTCCTAACACATTGATTTTCTGCTTCCTGATCACGTGACGTACGCGGATGAGGATCGGCTTTAGAGCTGAGATGTTTGTTGTCATGGTACGGGGGCTCGTTCCGATGCCCACACAGTAAAAAATATGCAAATGACAACTTTAGTCGTCATTGGCAGTAAACGGTTGGATTTAAAATGACGACTTTAGTCGTCAATGGCAGTGAATGAGTTAAAATAGTCGTTTTTTTGGCAGCTAAACAGCAGGATTGCTCATTATTATTAATGATATGCACACATCTTCCTTCCGATTGGCTAGCAGAATTTATTCAGCCATGTTACAAAGTCACTATCACCAAGACACTCTCCGCTCTCTCCTCGCTACAAAAAAAATAAAGTCTTACTGTGTGTGTGTTTGGGGGGGGGGGGGGGGGGGGGTATGATCCAGGATGGGTGAGGCCATGAATGCAAATTCACAGTGTGACATAAATATGTGAGGATTTTAAAATCCTAGCATTTAACCATCTACTTTCTATCAGAAGCTAACGCAGGAGATAGGTGTGGGAGACTATTTTCATGTTCAGCCTGCATGATCAACTCTGTGAAAAATTATAATCATAAATTATCTTTAAAAAAAAATGTCAGTCAACCACACCTTTAAAGTGGGAACAATAGCTCATTTAGAGCTCTGATTATAGAATAGCATCATCGTTCAGAGACTGAAGTCTGTATGAGGTAATCTTGTTTTGGAAGTTGAAGCAACAATGACAGTAATAATTTTCAGTCTTCTCACACCACATATGCAGTTTTTGAAGCTAAATGCAGGTTTTCATCTCCAACTGTAATGGTTAAATAAAACTGACACGGTGGTTATTATAGTTTCACTTTGTAGATTCTACTGGTTCATTATTTATACCTGAGAGGAGCTGCAGCCCTGTTTGCATAACAGCATAAAATTAATGCAAATCTCCTATAAATAAACGCTTTCTGATGTGCACCCTAACCCTAACCCTCATCCCAGCCGCTTCACACTCGCCTGCGAACCTACCCAGCAAGAGCTGAAGGTCAGAGCTGGATGAAGCTAGGAGGACCACATCATCCACAAAAAGCAGAGACGCGATTCTCCTGCCACCAAACTCGACACACTCCACACCACGGCAGGGCCTAGAAATTCTGTCCATAAAGGTTATGAACAGAACCGATGACAAAGGGCAGCCCTGGCGGAGTCCAACCTTCACTGGGAACAGGTCCGACTTACTACCGGCTATGCAGACCAAACTCACACTCCTCTGGTAAAGGGACTGAATGGCCCTTAACAAAAGGCCACCCACCCCATACTCCTGGAGCGTCTCCCACAGGGTGCCCCTGGGGACACGGTCATAAGCCTTCTCCAAATCCACAAAACACATGTGGATTGGTTGGGCAAACTCCCATGACCCCTCCATCACCCTTGCAAGGGTATAGAGCTGGTCCACAGTTCCACGGCCAGGACGAAAACTACATTGCTCCTCCTCAATCTGAGATTCAACTATCGATCGGACCCTCCTCTCCAGTACCTTGGAGTAGACCTTTCCAGGGAGGCTGAGGAGTGTGATCCCCTATAGTTGGAACACACCCTCCGGTCACCGTTCTTAAAGATGGGGACCACCACCCCGGTCTGCCACTCCACAGGAACTGCCTCCGATGACCATGCAATGTTGCAGAGACGTGTCAACCACGACAGCCCTACAACATCCATAGCCTTGAGATACCCAGGACGAATCTCATCCACCCCCGGGGCTCCGCCACTGTGTAGTTGTTTGACTACCTCAGCAACTTCTGCCCCAGAGATTGGGCAGTCCATCCCCAGGTCTCCTGGCTCTGGCTCCTCCTCGGAACGCGCATAGGTGGGATTGAGGAGCTCTTCAAAGTATTCCTTCCACTGCCCGACTATAGCCCCAGTTGACATCAGCAGCTCCCCATCCCCACTGTAAACAGTGTGAGCGAGTTGTTGCCTCCCTCTCCTGAGGCGCCGGACAGTTTGCCAGAACCTCTTTGGCGCCGATCGATAGTCTTTCCCCATGGCCTCACCAAACTCCTCCCACGCCCGAGATTTTGCCTCGGCAACTGCCACTGCTGCACCCCGCTTGGCTATCCGGTACCCGCCTGCTGCCTCCGGAGACCCACAGACCAGCCACGCCCTGTAGGCCTCCTGCTTCAGCCTGATGGCTCGCCGAACCTCTGGTGTCCACCAGCGGCTACGGGGGCTGCCACCACAACTGGCACCGGCCACCTTGCGACTGCAGCTAGCAACAGCCACCTCAACAATCGTAGAGTGGAACAAGGCCCACTCGGAGTCGATGTCCCCCACTGCTCTCGGGACGCGGTGAAAGCTCTGCCGGAGGTGGGAGTTGAAGACTGTCTTGACGGGTTCTTCTGCCAAGCGTTCCCAGCAGACCCTCACTATGCGTTTGGGTCTGCCAGGTCTACACGGCATCTTCCCCTGCCATCTGATCCAACTCACCACCAGGTGGTGATCAGTTTACAGCTCCACTCCTCTCTTCACTCGGGTGTCCAAAACATACGTCCGCAGGTCAGATGATACGACTACAAAGTCTATCATCGACCTGTGACCTAGGTTGCCCTGGTACCAAGTGTACCGATGGGCATCCTTATATTCGATGATGGTGTTCGTTATGGCCAAACTGCGGCTTGCACAGAAATCCAATAACGAAACACCACTTCAGTTCAGATCAGGCAGGCCGTTCCTCCCATTCACACCCCTCCAGGTCATGCTGTCATTGCCCACGTGAGCATTGAAGTCCTCCAGCAGGACAATGGAGTCCCCTGATGGAGCACTATCTAGCACTCGTCCCAGGGACTCCAAAAAGGGTGGGTAATCTGAACTGATATTTGGCGCATAAGCACAAACAACAGTCAGGACCCATTCCCTGACCCGAAGGCTCAGTGAAGCTACCCTCTTGTCCCCCGGGGTAAATCCCAACACACAGGCAGAGAGTCTTGGGGCTAACAAAAAACCAAACCCAGCCCTCCGCCTCTCACCCGGAGCAACTCCAGCAAGGTGTCCAACCCCTCTCAAGGACTTGGGTTCCAGAGCCAATGCTATGTGTCGAGGTGGGTCCGACTATATCTAGCCGGTACCGCTCAACCTCTGCCACAAGCTCCTGCTCCTTCCCCGCCAGCGAGGTGACGTTCCATGTCCCATTAACCAGTTTCCTTGTCCGGGGATCGGACCGCCAAGGCTCCCGCCTCGGTCTGCCACCTGATCCACACTGCACCGGACCCTTCATGTTCCTCCTGCGGATGGTGGGTCCACAGTTGGATGAGCCCATGTATCCGGTTTGGGCTGGGCCCGGCCGGGCCCCATAGGAGAAAGCCCGGCCACCAGGCGCTCGCTCACGGGCCCCAACCTCAGGCCTGGCTCCAGGGTGGGACCCCGGTAACCCTTCTGGCCGGGTACTCCGACTCTTTGTTTTTACGTCCATGAAAGATCCTCTGAACCGTTCTTTGTCTCACCCTTCACCTAAGACCCATTTGTCATGGAAGACAAAGAATTGAATTTGCAGGACAGAAGTGTGTCCTGTTTATTGAAATATTTTGTCTTTAGAGTTTTTGACGTCTTGTCCATTCGTAGATCAGTTACGCTCATAGCTGCTAGCCAAAACTCTGGAGTTAAAGGTTTTCTGGCTTTACTAAAATACCTGTCTGTACTTATTTGATTGATGGTAGTTTTACTTTCAATTAGATTCCAAATGTAATCATTTGGCACATTTCTAATTCATAATTTGTAATAATGTAATCAGTGATATTAGCATTAGCATTCCTATGGGTTTTTCCATGTATATTAGCATTGCGCTAACCACTCGCTGCCAAATTGCAGCCTTTGCGATTAGAAAATCTCCTTTTGTCACATCGCAATTTAATTGCACATGCAGTTAATCGTTCAGCCCTAATATACATGCAGCTCTATGCTAAAAGTGTATTTTCAAAGAGGTAATGAAGGATTTCTTTGTAAAAGTTGTCCATCTTTCCAACAGAAAGATTTGCCTGGACCAACGTAACCTGATAACAACGTAACATGATTACGTAATTCCGTAAGGTTCATGTTCAGCCAATCAACTACTTAGACGTCATCGGCAGTCGACAGACCCCGTGCCAATTTTGCACCCGAGCAGATCTTGTACCGACAAGGGCACTCAAACTCCTCCACTACGATAAGGTGACGGTTCAAGGAGGAGTCAGTGAGGTGCATCCATTATATTTCAAAATAAAAGTCATGTTGCACAATTTTTTTCTACCTTTAGTTTTATTATTATGATGGGCATGTCAGTTCACAGTGTATGATAGTACATGTTACTTTTACAGGTTTGTCTTCAAACACATTATGTCAAATAATTTGGTGCTCTTGTGTGAGCAGATGTCCGGAGATGTACAGAAACTGTTCTCAACTAGGGGTACTCCTACCAGCACTTCTAAAGAATTTCAACAGCTCTTTATCGGTATGAGAAAATGGCTCGGTCCTACCGTAAAACACCCAAGAGTGCAGAGATAATGATGTATTTATCTACTTATCATCCTACAGTGTATGACTCGTCTTTGCTTGTTATCTAGAATCTTCTGGGGCTGATCTGTAACTGGCAACAGCCACAAAACTCACAGAATGGCAGTGAGTTTGTCACTTTTCGGTTAGAAAATGGACCTGCAGTACCCAAATTTAACCACAGGATGTCACTGTTATATATTGTATTTTTAAGACTGAATTGTGCTCCATCATCACACTGATCATCACATTTCTACCAATATAAAATCACCACGATGTTGGTACTTTTTTCTTCTCTAGCTACTTGTTTCTAGCTACATGCATACACTAAAATGTGTTTGTTGGATGATGAAGTATTGAGAAAAATAATTATTATCTTAAAGGTTTCTTGTAAATCTGTGTGACTTGAATCAGATAAACATAGTTTATGTAACATTTTAGCCTCATGTGTCAGTTTATCAGCCTTGTGCCTTTATAATTACCCATCTGGTACCATCAGCAGCTTTTAACACCACCTCCACTGCTGCAGCTTCCTTATACCCACCCTATGCTACACCTATACTAGGGTATTAGCTTGCTAGCTTATTTAAAGTATGTAAAACAAACAAGCTAGGAATAACTTTGCAAGTCAAAAGGAAACCAGGAGTTTTTTTCCATTAACTACATGTTAAGCAAATTTTCTCATATAATCAAATTTTCAGCAGCTCACTTCCTTGGTTTTGTTTATTAAAATCACATTTTGCTGACATTAATAGTTGGAGAAAAGCATTATAAGGCTTTATAAATTCTTCTGGATTTTCACTTCAAATCACTCTTGTCTAATATTAGTTTAGTGAATGTCACTGATGTTGTTATTGTCATTGAAGAAAAAAAACAGTTTGCAGTACGCTAACACCCACTAGCTCCAAAAGGCCGGTACCTAATAATTAACATAATTTTCACACCACTATAGTGTTAAAGGTGCTAAAGTTCATTTATACACAAGTGAGTTTGGTTTTTGTCCAAGCAGTGAGAAAATTTCTTGTCTCACAATTTATTCTCTGTGTTGATGTTATTTGGACAAAATATGTCCAAGAAGCCGATTCACGTGTCTCGTGTCTTTACCATGTTTCTGTGTCTCCAGGGACTGTCAATGAGGCAAATCCGGTTCAGATTTGATGGGCAGCCGATAAATGAGACAGACACACCTGCACAGGTAAGTCTGAAGCCCTACAATAAAGATTTTAGCAGCCTCATACAAGGCTTATAAGGGTCGACGTAGGTGGAGGGATTAATAAACGGAGGACTGAAATTCAGACAAATGTGGTTATTTTCATGTAATTAATGTGAAAGATGTAGAATGTTCTCTTATGGGGTAAAGTCTTAAATTTGTGAGAAAAAAGTTCTAAATTCCATAATCAAATTCAGCAGTTTACCAGTAAAACACTCATAGATTTTTGTTGTTGTTGTTGTTGTTAGTTTGCTGGAAGGCTGTGTCTGGGTGTTCTCTATGGTCAGAGAGAAACACAAAAAATATATTTTTAAAGAAAACCAAAAGCTGCAATAATGTCATTGGTCAGGTGAGCCCTCAGAGACGCTGCATGAGTGCAGCAGACACCAGTCCAGACTGTTGCCTCTAGATTAGAAACATTTTGACTTATTTTATAAATGTACTCTTTCTGATCATTTTCTTTCTCAACTTAATTGAAGTTCAACAAATCTTTATTGATATTTTCACTAGGGATGTGTATTGGTGAAATTCTGGCGATATAGGAGAGATGATACGATAACTCACGATATGTTGCGATACATTCAGCTAAACGATATAAGCAATTTTTTAAACTAAAATCATTGCAGGAAAATTCAATGAACTGTCCAAACTGATACGTAACATATTTAAAGTAAGTTATCTGAACCATAATAGAGGGACTTACATTTCAGTGCTGGAAACAAAACCTGTTGCACACTGCTGCCAACCAGAGGTCGGCATTTGAATTGCACCAAAAGAAAAGAAAATACACACAAATTTGCATGTAAATTCTTCCAAAAACTCGATACACAGAGTTTGAATATCGATATAATATCGCAAGAAAAATTATTGCGATATATTGCTGCATCAATATTTTCTTACATCCCTAATTTACACACAGGCATAGCGACAGACCATTAACTGGATAAAGAAAAGGAAGTAGAACTTTCAGGGCTCTATGTTGAGTTTGAAATGTAGGAATGCATCACACCAATTCTCTCTGCTGGGTTGTGTGTGTCTGCAGACCGGTGCCAGTGAGGGTCACAGCAGTTTGTGGTCATAATCTGTTATTGTTGTAGCACTGGACAAGCCGGTCATCAGTGCATCGTTGCCTTTTGATGTATGCTGATGAAAAAAGAACTTTGTTACCCTAAAAACCACATAAACACAGAAAGGCAGCATCTTGCCCTTTGTTCACAAGCCCTCTGCTTTATTTATTTATTTATTTATTTATTTATTTTTTACAGTTGGAAATGGAAGATGAAGACACAATTGATGTGTTTCAACAACAGACAGGCGGTCTGATTTAAGCAACTACAGCCCCAGCCTGTCACATCCAGCGGCTGGTCCTCACAAGTCCCAACAGAATGCCACACAGAATAAGGTTTATTTGTTGTATAATATTTTCATTCATGCCCCTGTTACTGTTTCATCTTTGTACATAAGTGACATCCATCTTGTTCTTGCTGTGTTGTGGTAAATGAGCGTCCACCCGTTTGAAGGGTTTGCTCTGAAGATAAAGTTGGATAGAGATGACTCCATCCACTGAGCAAATGTTGCTCTGCTCTGGTCATTGTCCAGCAGCTCTGTACTCCAGTTAAGTCGTTTAGGCACTGGCTCCCATCCAGACCAGTACTCCCACGTAGGGAATGTGTCTTGGTTACCATTAAGTCCGTTCATACCAGGAAAAAACATGTTGATTTTCTAAACTTTTTATATCGTACTTATTTGTTCTTCCTGTCCACCTCAAACGTTTGGGAACCATAAAGGGATGCTTCAGTTTAAAACATATGTATTGTCTGTCAAAATATGTGTTAAATAAAGTTATTGTCTTTTTTCTCAAACTTGTACTCGTTCTGGTTTTTATTAGGGTTTAGATTTAGTTTAGTTTCCATTTGATCGCATTTTACAGTTGATAATTGCCGGATCTTCTGGCCATGAATCTGAGACCTGTCACCAACTAGACGTCCGACCTTTGAGCTGCGGACCAATCAGAGCACAGCCCTGTGCCGCTGTGGGCCAATCAGAGCACAGCCCACTGCCGCTCTGTTCAATCAGAGCTGTTGATTTGCTGGTGGGCGGGGTCTGACGGGCTGGCACCACAGAACCAGCGGATCTGGTCTTCGTTATGTTTTTTCAGCATATCGGGTGGAGTCCATATCCCGTCTCTTCGCAGCGACCAAGAAGGAGGATTTATCCTGTTTTTTATTATTAGTTTGACTCTTTTTTGCCGACGAGACATTGAAATTCTCCCCAAAGATGACAACGACAACCACATTCCAAGGGATAGACCCTGGTTCTAAAAGCAGTTCCAGGTAAAAAAAAAAAAAACAACTGGAATCTTTCATGGAGGAACAAAAGAAGTGGGATGCGGGGACGCGTTTCTGCTAGCAAACGCCTCTTTTTCTGGTTGTGCTTGAGCAGACGGAGGTGGAGAGGGGATATATCTGATCTGAGCTGAACACTCACGTAGTCTGGCTAATTGTGTTAATCTGATTGGGTCGCTCGGGCTCCATGCTCTAAGTTAGTTAGCCTGGCTGAGAGAATCAGGCAGAAGCCCGCTTTTATTTTCCTCCGTTTTCCTGTAAGGAGTGGATAAACTTACTAGTGTTGGCCCTTTAGCCATAAAATAACTTTTTTTATTGTTAAACCAAGTTTAAAATATTCGTCTGTTTGTATTTGAAGTTATTTGGCTGTTTAGGGTGTTTCTGACCCATCGTGACTTATTAGAGGCTCCGTCTATGGAGGGGTTAAGCATGTGATTGATGACAGGAGGGATCGGGTCTAGACTGGGTCTGCTGGGATCATCATCTCTGATCCAGGTAGCTTCCATTCATCCTCTCTTTCTTCTGTAATGATAAATACACAGAGGCTCATCCTCCAAGCATCCTTTCCTGTAAGCGATGCGCCTGAATTCATCCCTCCTGCTGCAGTACAGCACCACTGTTTTATAATAATGCTGCCCATGCATACTGGTTTGTTATTTTTGGTTAAGGGTTAAACTGGTGCTGCTGGATTTTGCTGGGAGCATGTCAAATGTCGGTCAGGCATTAACTGGCTGCAGTTTTGGGATGATGCAGGGGCTTGGGTGGGGGCTAAGCCTGTAAATCGGTCCTTAGCTCTTTACTTTTGGTTCTTAACCCCTCCACCCCCCTCTCTCTCTTTTAGCAGCTGTTGGCCATTTCTGTTTGCTGCCTGAACAAAAGGACACCCTTAGATGAAAGTTTAAACTGAGATAAGGCTGAAATCTTTGTGGGCCATCAGGGGCCTACTGTCTTATCACACACAGTGCTTGTATTTTTTGGAAGGCTTCCTCCTCCACAAAACGCTCCAAAACATTCCAATAATTTGACTAATATCATCAGCAGTTTCATTTTGGGGTGGGGTCTTCTGCCATGCTGCTAAAATCCCCCCCCCCCCCCCCCCCCTTTCCCTATCCACGTGGAAACCATGAGCTCATCCTTCCTGGCCAGGAGGTAGAGTCTTCATAAGGCATTACTGAACTTACACAGTGAAAACAGAGATGAAATCACCTCGATTTAGTTTAAACTTTGCTTTTATTTGTATTTTCTTCAAGTTTTGAGGAGCTGGGGTGGTTCTGTGGGCTCCATCTGCCTTCCTGGCCCTCGGACAGCTGCTCAGCGTGTCAGCTGGTGGCTGCAGTGACTCTTAGGAGGCCAGAGTTTGCTGGAAATAAAGAGGGAGGGGCTCTGTGAGGACACTAGTGTCTGCCGTCCACTCCAACTGTGTCCTTCAGCACAGAAAGCTAGAAGGGTTTTCCTGCCTGCACACTAGTTTCTTTTATCTGTTTCAAGAGCATTTTGATATACAGGGACCTAAAATAATGAATCTAGAGTAAACTGGGCCCAAGTGAAGCTTCACATTTGACTGGTTTCTCTGTTCAAACACTACAATGATAACAGGAAAACACAGCAGCCTCTACATGTGTCACAGCAAAGGAATCCGAGCTGAATAGAGGCTGCGGCTAGCGCGCTAACTCGCTGATTCTAGGCAGCCGGAGTCAGCTGCAGGGCAGAGATTGTGACTGTCTGTCTGACAGGATGACAGCCGAGGCTTAGAGGGTGGAGGCTCTGCTGGTGTGTGGTATGAAAGGGTTTGGGTGGTGCACGGAGAAGCCTTCAGAAATCCAGGACGCATCCTCGGCTTTTATTCAACTATTGATTGATGCTTTTGGTTTGCTCTGATAAAAGAAACAATGGGAGCACAGCAGAAAGGACTTCATCATATCCTCCCTTTTTCTTTTTGTTCTTCAGGGTACTACGGCCGCCAGGTGGGGACTCCAACTTCTCTCTTGGCGCAGATGACAACACCAACCCCCAGCGCAAGAACAAAATGGCCTCTAGCATCTTTGCAGAACCCGACGACCCTCATGCCCACCGGAGGAACAACCCACCAAGTAATTTGCTCCAACATGACTCTCGTTAATCGTTCCTGTGTTAAATCTGAGCTAGATAAACGATTCCACTTATGGGATAACTGTGGTTTGCACCGCAGAAACAAACGTGTGCAGGACGAGCTGGGTCTTGCAGGGGCAGACAAAACCAGCAGAAGTCTGAAGTAAGCAGAAAACACTGCAATTAATCCGTCTGACTCGAGCCTGGAGAAGAGACAAACCGTGGGGTTGTTCAGAGATTCCTACTCATCTGACTGGCTTTCCCACGTGTTCAGCAGCGAATAAAAGCCCTCCAGCACTGGGATGGGGGTAATTTGAAACTAGTCTTTGTTAAATAAGGGTAGAAGATCAGTCCTCAATGGAAAGAAAAGGTCGGGGGGGGGGGGGGGGGTGTATCACTTGGGGAAAGAAGCGGCCTTCCAGAGAGAGAGAGGGGCGAATGCAGCTGTGGAAAAAACAAAAAAAAAAAAACATTCAAGGGCTCTGAGATTTCAAGGTCAGTGGAAATTTGCAGCCACATGAGGCTAAATGTGATCTGACATTACTGCCTTCTAGTACGTTTCTGTTGGAGCCAGGAAAGTTTCCTCCAATCTCTGTGCTGTTTACTACAGACGGGCCTCGCAGTAATTTATCTAGGTCATCAATGTTGTAAAAAAAAGAAAGAAATGGGCCATAGAGAGGAAATTCCAGGCTTTAGAGGAGCATGACTTTTTAAAAAGTGCTGTTTTTACGTCGACCAGTTGGTAGAAATCAGTTGGGTGTGTGTGCAATCAAGAGTCTGACCTGAAATTGTGGGTTAGCCCTTGATAATCAGTGCCTGATTACATTAAAAAGCTTGTTCGCTTTGGGGCTGGAAGAGCTTCAGTTTCTACAACTGGACCAGTATGGGAATTTATTATGGAGTTATGATGGTTTATCTCTTTAGTTTGCGAGTGTTGTGAACTCTAAAAGGCCTTTGTGTGAACGCTCGCTTTTCTGCCAAAACGTAATAAATGGTTTAAGAAGCATTTTATATGAACAGGACGTGTCTGGATTATCTGGAATAACGTCACACTCAGGCAGCCGTTTGCAGACCCGTAGGAGCATTTGTGTGCAAGCAAAGACAGGAAAATGGGTACATTCAGACTTTTTTAGTTCGGCCATTTTTACACGTGTAAAAGTTATAATTAGTATCTCATGCATTGTAGATTGCCTTATGAATAGTCTTAGTTTAGAGAAGGGAGATTTTTCCAACAGGATTGATGAGCTAACGGCTAGATGTTAGCTATCTGAACTAGCGTATTGCTGCTGTCTAAAATGGCTCCAGTCCCACCCAAACCAATGACGTTCTGAAGATTGGAGCTGTTTCTAAAAAGGCACCAAATACACTTCTGTCTCAGTGGTCAGACTAGCCTTTAGCTCATCAGTCTTGTTGGACATAAACACTGTTTATCTGAACTGGGGTTGTTTACGGAGCTGTCTGTGAGTAAGATGGTAATTATTCAAAACTTTTACATGCGAACATATGAGAAAAATCAAATCAAGTTATTTTGAATAATCCTTCAAACCCACAGTTTTACTTTTATGATGTGTTTAAATGGTTGGAAGTGGGTTTCTGTGGACATATCACAAATGATGAATATCTTACCTGCTGTAGATAGCTCTCTGAACAGCGTCAGTTTGAGGAAACCAAGCAAAATTGTGACAAACTACTCCTAATGGAGTCTAAGGTCAACTTCACTGAAAAAACAATTTTTATTTATTATATCTGATTATAATTGGTCACTCTGAGTTTCACATTCAGGCTGAACATGAAAATAGTCCCCTACACCTATCTCCTTCATTAGCTTCTGGTAGAAAATAGACAATGAAATCTAGGATTTGATAATCCTGACAGATCTACGTCACACTGTCACTTAACACTCATGGACTCGCCCATCTTGACTCGCGACAGGGAAGGCTGCGTTGGTTTAGCATCCAGGAAACAGCAGGGAACACCTTAGCTAGTAGAAGCTAGCATTAGCATATACTCCACTTGGCAGAACTCCTCCAGGCTTGTGTTATTTGTAGAGATGAAACATCAACGTTACAGAGCAAATGGAGTCAGTGGTAGAGTCGTGTTGGTCAGTCATAGAAGAGTTGTCAGAATATTAGGAAATAAGACTCCAAGTCATAAAAATCAGGTCTAAAATGCATGCGAGTGGGTCAAATTCTCAAGGCAATGCCATATTAGAAGCCGTGTTTCCTTCTACGGGAGCCTGTGAGGATAAAATGCATTTACTGATTTGTAACAAATGGCTACAAAACTTTCATCATTCATTAACGTTGAATCAACGTCGTTGATGTTTTACACATTTACCTCTTCACTTGTTGCCAGTGATGAAAGGGGGTCTTGTGTGCTTGTCTTTTTGCTGGGGGTTGGGCTCCCAGGGATTTTTGACCCTAATGGCCATCCGTTAGTAAGGTCTTAAACACAAAAATACTGCTTGCAATGCAGGGTTCTTCCTGGCTCAAATTGAGGCAGAGGTGGTACCATCCTGACCATGTGCCAGCACGTGCATACTCTGTGCATTCAACTGCCTCACTTTATTAAAGGCAAAATATTATAAAAGGCTCAATAAGATGCATTAGATTGGTGTTTAGTTCCCTTTTTCCCATCTGATATTTATAGTAAAATATTTTTAAATATTTGACCAACATTTCAGTTACATTTTAGGTTTGTATTAATAACACTTCTCTTAGTCAAAATAACACATAAATATATCCAGTAAAATATAATGCATTTCATTAACATGCATTTGTATTGGAAATGGTAATAACATTTAATTTCTGCTGCTAACAACGTAATGGTGGCATGTCTATTATGTACGGGTTAGGGAGGTGTTCCGTTTAGCCTTGGACCCCAAAATGCCTTGAAACGGCACTGGGTGTGTGAGTTTTGAAGGTGATCTGAATTGTATCAGATGTATAAATATTACATGTGTATAACTTATTGGTTTGTACGGGTAAAATCGTGTAGTGGAGATAAATCTACATACATTTGACTTTCCAGCTTTGTTTTCTTGTTTTTATTTAACCATTTTCCTGTCCCGTCTGTCTCTCATCTTCCTGCATCTCCTCTAAATTCTCTAGAAAACTGATGCCTGGATTCTTACTTTTGCACCTCATCAGTAACTTTTGAGCAGATCAAAGGGATCTCCTGACCACAAAGCGGAGAGCGCATTTCGATGCTGTGTCAGTGAGGTGAAATCACCGCAGCACAAGATGAGCGGAGCACGTCAGGAAAGATTAAAAGACAGAATACCAGAGGATTTGAATAAATATGAACGATCATGTGCTAATAATGATGTTTTGTTGCGCCACCTTGAGAATGTATCGTGTGCCGGACGCAGCGGGCGCACCAACGATCAGCGCTCTGCGTCCTCTCAACAGAATCCCGCTACGCTGAGAGTCCATAGATATTGTAATATAGGCAGAAACTGGACCTTCCCCCCCATAACTCGATCCCTGCACCTGGATGAAAAGCCGGACATTTTGATCAGTGTAGGAAAAATGGCGCCTGGCAATGGCACAAACATCTTTCTTTAGCAGAAAGGCTTTTAGCGCTTCTACTTGTTGTGGTGTTAAAGACGTGTCCAAGTGATTTAGAACAGAGGAAAGAGCCACAGGGAACTCTGCTTCAGACGCCATGTTTAGGAGAAACTCAGAGTCATGGTGTGTGTGTGTGTGTGTGTGTGTGTGTGACGTGCGCTGATTGGCTCAGTTAGAATTCTCAGGGGGTGGGGTTATTTGAATAGAAGAGTTCCCCATGCTTCATTATGGGCTGGTCAGGCTAGCTTCCTTTGAGTCAAGAGCAGTTAGAGGTAAGTTTCTTTAGAAAAAGGATGTTTTAGCATCTTCTTCGATGGTTCATGGCGGACCGCCCCATTGACTGACACCCGTAGCCATGAATATATCATGGTGCATGTTGTCCAATAGCATGTGGAGACGTTCTGAAAGACAACCGTAGATCCCACTCTACGACTGAGAGCCATCAGTGGGTCATGGCCATCCTATGCACATATACAGGATGGCTTGCCAGGCTAGGGGTGACTTTCTCATCAAGGTATTAGCTTGATTATTGCCGTAGCTCGACTTAAATGGTAAAATGGTAAATGGCCTGTATTTGATATAGCGCCTTCTAGAGTCCTGGGACCCCCCAAGGTGCTTTACAACACAATCAGTCATTCACCCATTCACACACACATTCACACACTGGTGGGGATGAGCTACAATGTAGCCACAGCTGCCCTGGGGCGCACTGACAGAGGCGAGGCTGCCGAGCACTGGCGCCACCGGTCCCTCCAACCACCACCAGCAGGCAACGTGGGTTAAGTGTCTTGCCCAAGGACACAACGACAGCGACAGACTGAGCGGGACTCGAACCTGCAACCTTCCGATTACGGGGCGAGCACTTAACTCCTGTTAAGTTAGATTCGTGTGTAACTGCACTGTGTTGTAAACTGACACGTTACACTATTAATCTGGCAGAAATGTGAAATTCTGACAAAGTCAATACAGACCTGCTGTGAACCACTACAGAACGCCGCAGAAATAGCTATGGTCAACATGTGGGTCAGTGTAAGTGTTGTTGAGTTGGTATAAACTAATGTAAAAGGTTTGAAATTAGATTTGTAAACGTTGTAGCTGGCCCCAATTTGACTAGCTGTTAGCTCATCTGTCCTTTTAGAACTAATCTCAATTGAAAAAGAATTTTGTTATTCATAGTTGGTTTAAATGGAACTTCTTTGTCTCTAAACTGAATAAAGTAAAAAACCATGTTGACGCAGTTCTGCAGGTTTATTCCTGCTCAGCTGGAGTCTGTCAGGCTGATGTTTGGGCTTTTATTGGTCCGTCTGAGAGCTCTTAGCTTCCGACCACACAATGAGTAGATTTTAATGAGAGAGGAAGCTCCTCTCAGACATCCACGCCTCAGACCCGTGAGATCCATAACAGTAAGCAGAAGCGTACGTTTTACTCGATGACTACATGAAGCGTCTATATGTTCCATCAATCTAGTTGAATCCTCTTTGGTTTCATGTTTGCTCTTTGTTGGGCAGTAAACTGATTCTGGAGCCTGTAATGAATGAGCGTCTGTCCAGGAGCAGACTCGGTGCTGATTCACTTCCCTCCATTAACAGCGTTGCTTCTCCTCCTCTTCAGTCGTCGTCGTCTTCCCCTCACAACAGTCGGCTTGTGACCTCCCTGACCCTGTGAGTGATGGCGGTTACCTTATGTGGCTCTGAGCTGCACAGCCGGCTCCGCTCAGCGAGCCAGCGCTGAGCTTTAATGCTCTTTCTGCAGGAGCTACATGGGTTTTGTGAGTTTTGGCAGTCGACTCGTCTGACTGGAAGTGTTCCACCGCGTTTTCTGGGTCAGTTGCAGACGCTCAAGCGGATTTTGTGATGTTTCCTGTTCATTCCCTGTGATTTTTTATTTATTTGGGGGGGGGCTGCTTTATTTCAGTTCTCGTAAAGCCAATGTTTTGTTAAATCTCACTAGATGAGTCTTGTTGTGAACATGCTTGCCTCATGAGCTGGAAACACCAAAGTCTGGTCTGGCTTTGTGGCTAAGTGGATTAGTTCTCATATGATATGACTGTGCTGCTTTGAAGTCTTACTCATGTTTGTCATCAGCTCTTCCTGTATAACTTCACCATGATCGGTTACCCTCCTCCTCCTCTTTAATAAAGGAAAACAATAATAGGAGTGCAGAGTTTAAAAGCAGCTTTTCCTTTGATCCAGCAGTCGGCGGACCTGCAGGAACCCTGTGTGGGGAGCCGTCCGCCCCGCTGAGGAGGTGCCAGCAGCCTCTTCTCTTCCCCAAGAACCCTCAGCCTGAGCTGACCACCATCCACAACTCTGGGGCGGCCATGATCTGGAACCAGAGACGAGAGGTACCTGTCATGTAGGCTGATCCACTGTTTCCAAAACACAGCCTAGTTCAGCTAAAGCCGACGAGGCGCACGTCCAAACTGTTCAGTGGAAAATTTAGTAAGGAAGGTTGGCGTAATTCGTCAGTTTGAAACTAATCCTGCTTTTTTGTTTTTTTTTTATATTTGCAGACATTTATAATCCCAGAGTAGTCTTGGTTTTTACTCTTGAGTCCTTGCTGTCAGATGTGGAGTTTCACAGTTTTAACTCTCTCAGGCTGAAATTAAGTTTTGATAAAAGGACAAACAACTAAGTCCTTCAGGGGTACTTCTGAGTTACAAAATGCTCATGAAATACGTATGTGGAGTAACCAGGTAGGTTGGTTTTAACATTGCAAATCTGCAACGCCTGCCTCCAGAGGGTTAATAAAGATATAGCGAGCTCGAGTTCACTTCATTACAAAAAAGGAAAAAACACATTTCTAACAAAAAGTTCAATAAATATGTTTTTTGCTTCTCCCTCCCTTGAAAACAAAATTACAATGGTCTTTAACAACCCTGCTGCATTCTGCTGTAGCTAGTGCTAATAACAAGCTAATGCTAAAGTGAGTCAACTGATAATAAAATAAGCAACAAAGTAAAAAGATCCACACTGTTGGATAAAAAAATGTGTCCAGTAGCAACAAAGCCAGGTCATCATCAGTCTGTGATTTTGTCGCCTCCTTTAGCGCTCACAAACTAGTTTAGGCCTTGCTGATGTTCATGTATGTTATGTACGCCTAGGCTCCACCATGATGCCAACATTAAACCAGAATTCTTCTTGTAGTTTTTATTAACAGGGTAGCAAACTGAAAAAGCTAACTGCTAGCCTTTAAATTAGCCGCCATTACAAACAGATGTTGCCGTAAAGCAGGTAGAGACCCACTAGGGTTACAGAGTGCTGTCCAATGTTAAGTAGCTCAAGAACCGCTGAAACCAGTTTGAAAGCAATAACTTAACGTGTTAAAAACTCTTAGGGTTGCTTTAGTCTTTTTTTCTTCCTGTGCATTAATTTCTCTTGCAGTAAATATTTCTCGTCTCTGTCTTACAGGATGAGAACGGGCAGGAGGAAGTGATCGATGGTACGTATGCTGGTCTCCTCGGCTGTTTTATAGAGTCTGTCACATTCTGACCATGTCTGAACAGCAGGGCATGACTTAGATCACTCTGTAGAAAGCTCCATGGAGCTCTGAAACGCATCATGTAATTCTCCTCCTCCCGTCCCTCTAACTTCTCCCTTTCTAAGTCAACAACACGTGATCGCTTTGATGTGGCCGCTCCCTGTCGGGATGGCGTGCCAATCCGGACTCAAGCAGCTGTTCCTTAATGGCAGGCCTCACTTAGTATGAAAAGATTTTTATTAACCTCCAGGTGTGTGTTAGTAACAGAGTGGCTCCACCCGCTCGGTGGGAACTCTCAAACTGCAGCTCACTGTTTGGACGTTGAGCTGGTCTGGATTTACGGCCGTGCTTACATGTTTGTAAGAGTCCAGTTCAATAACAAACTGTAACTTTTGGTGGGTTACTTCAAGTGTCCAGTGGAGACAAACCTTTAGTTCAGTTAGAAGTGGACGTTTGACTGGAGACAGCAGGGCGTAGTTGAGCTGGGTCTCCGTTAGATTACGTATCTGAACATCTGGGTCCACTTTCACGAAGCTGTGCACTCCTGATATGTGTGACACTGAGCTTACTAACCCATAATAACTACATTTGTCACCGGCGGGTTGTTTGTCCTGCTGCTGTCCACTTCTGTTTCTGCTCTGCCTTCAAAAGACATTTTATTCATTTATATCAGCTAAGTTTATTAAGTGTCCTTCTGCTCGATGGCTACATGTTATTTTGGTACAAAGCAGAAAAAGGCAGCTGCCTAGCTGAAATAATAAATAGTCTGAAAAGACTATGTAGAGATAAAGCCTTCTGTTTGTGTATGACAGTAGCGTTAGGTCCTCAGGTGTTCAATTTATGTTATATAGGAGAGATTCCTGCGGTATTAATTAAATAGCAGGAGCACATTTTAGGCTCTTTGGCTTTTTTCGGCTCAATTTGTGTTTAGATTCTGATAAAAATCAGGGGTCTCATTTATCAAACATTGTGTAGAATCCTTACTAAAACCGTACTTAAGCTCAGCAAAAAATAAAATAAAATTCTTACGCCAAGTAGGTTTGTGATCTATCAAACATGGAGGACGCACAACTGCACGCAATCCTCACTTCATAAATCAGAAACTATCTAGAAAGGTTCTCAGCTGCTTTTTAGTCACATCCCACCCTCACCACTTCCACTTACTGCCATAAATAGTCAACGCAAAGTGCCTTGTGGATCTCATGCATCTACATAAGCTGGCAGTTGCAGCGCTCCGCCAATGACGAAGGCGACCGTAGATCAAGGCCGATCAAGGAAGCGCAATTTCACAGAAGCAGGAATTGAGGTACTTGTGGGTGACGTGGAGAAATGAAAGGAAGTGCTTTTGCAAAACAAATAAGAGAAAATCCACGTAGTGGCACAATGTTGCTGAAGCTGTCAATGTTGTGAATTCTTCAGAGAGACCTGTGGGAGATATAAAAAAAATGGCCCAATCGGGATTCGATCCCCAGACTCCCGGGTGAAAGCCATGCGCGCTAACCAGTCACCCAAACGGAGGTCTCCCCTGTACGAGTAGCCAGGGCGCATGATCAATCGGGTCACAGTGACAGGACACACACTGTCACAGACGCATGATATTCTGTCTCAATCTGTCCCCCTGCTGATATTCTGCATTCCGTATTCTGCGCTTCAGGCTCTGTGTGTGCGTGTGTGTGTGAGACTTTGTGTGTGCACGTGTGGGGGGTCTTGTTCTGTGTGGAAACGAAGCAGTACAAGTGATAATGCTGCAGGAATTCATAATTTTATCCTTCTCAGCAGCAGCACTGCAGGTGCTCTCCATGTCCAAAATGTGCGTAAGCCAGGTCCTTAGTCAACTTAAAGTTGTGCACATTTTCCCACTAAGTTTTCTTTCATAAATCCCAAAGTTTGCGTGAAAAGTTGCTTACGCAGTTTTCCAACCCCATTTTGTGCGTAAGCAAGCTTGATAAATGAGGCCCCAGATTATGACAATCCCAAATTATGTTTCTGAAGCTCTAACCTACTGATTCAGATTTTAGACTTTTTGATTTATTTCCATGAACTACATTTTACATCAGTTTTCTAGATCTAATCCTATTTTAAAGCTGTTTTCTTACAAATGTTAAAAAGTAAGTTAATTGAAAAACTTTTTTTTTTCTTTTTTTTTGAAACGTGATCTCCTATTTCCTTCATTAGCTGCCAATAGGAAACAGACGGGGAAACGCTGAGATGAGAAAAGCCACTCAGATGTACAACTCACTTAAAATTAACACATGGACTCACCCATCTTGGTTCACGACAGGGAAGGCTGTTGTTGGTTTGGCCACCAAGAAACAGCAGAGCATGTTTCGATTAGTAGAAGCTAACCATTAGCATTAGCAACTCCACCACACAGCAAAACTCCTCCATACTTGTGTTATTTGTGGAGCTTAAACATCAACATTGCGAAGCAAACAGTCAGTGGTTAAGTCGTGTTGCTGTTAGTCAATCAGTGGTGAGATGTCCAGAATTATGTAAATAAGACTCTAAATCCTGCCGTCTTCTGCTCCTTACTCTAACTTCCACTTCCTGAAACAGAAGCGCCAGAGGTTTTGTTCCACAGAGAACGACTCACTAGGCATTCATTCATACTAGAGACTGCTGCAAGTGTGTTAAATGTGAGTAAATTAGATTTAAAAAAATAAACATATATTTTCTCCTAATTAAACACCAAATCACAATTTTAGAAAAGTGTCTTCGACGGAGGTGTTAGCATAAATAAAACCACCTGAACTAGGTATGCTCCGATCCAATCACGCGATCGGAAATCGGTCCAGATCTCGTGTTTTTGAAGGGATCAGAATTGGGAGAAATAAATCGGATTTAACCTTACAACAAACGTGACTTTTTAAATTCATCCTGAAATAGAGATTTTCAAATTGAATGAAAATGGCTTCGTTTCAATTTCAATAAGTCCCGCTACATCAGTAATATTTGTTTCTTGTATGAAAACAACACCGTAACGTCACACAATTTACGGCAGGCAAGGACTCCGACACCAAGTGCCGTTGTTAGCAAGTCTGCTAACACAGAGCTAACGTGTCTCATCAGGAGAGCTAAGATATCTGCAGCTTGGTGGTATTTTAAACCGGACAGCGAAGGCAGAGCTACAGACACTTGTAATGTGTGCATACTGAGCATTCAATATGCTGGGAAGGACACAGCTCCATGATTCGCTGCCTTCAAACAAGATACTTTCAATATTGGGTTTTCCCTTCGAGCATCATCTAAGGAAGTCACCGGTCTCCATTAATCTCCAGTTCACCTCTAACAGTTCACAGTGAAGTCAGACAAAAATGCTGAACCAGTCGACAGAGAAAGTTACGCTAATGAACAAAGAGAAATTGCTAACAGACTGCAAAACATCGGGGTTTCTAGTTCTCCTGCAGGACCAGTGTCAGTACAGGATCTGCTCGGGAGCAGGATCGGCTCGGGGTCCTTCGACTGCCAATGACGTCACATTACTGCAAATCTACTCGGCTTTCACACATACGTTTTGGAAAGACATCAGCAGTTTTGTTAAAAAATTCTTGTTTGTTAACACCTAAATGTTTTCTTTATACTGTAATTGTAATTTGTTAATAAAACACCATATTATCTTTGTTTTGTAAAGAATTTGAAACTGCATAAAACCAACATCAGACTGACAACAAAATAGAACAGTTCTTATATGTGAAGCCATATCTGTTTGTAGTAATTTGGAGTTCGTCTGTATATTTCCTTAGTTGTTATCTAAATACATTCTTTGACTCAAAATATTGCTTGGTGTCTTTCAATAAAGTTCTTATATTTTATTTTGCCCCATTTCCGCAACATCAAGACCTTTTGAGGGTCACCGTTTATCATTTGCTTATATTTTACATTTCCTTTAGAAATTCAAACATATTTTCTCCAAAAAGTTTTGATTTTTGGACTACAGGACGACAACCGCTAAGACTACGACTGCAAATTTGTTCTGACCAATCAAAATCATTCACAGGATCTTTCATGGAGGTAAAGTCAAAGAGTCGGAGTACCCGGCCCGGAGGGTTACCGGGGTCCCACCCTGGAGCCAGGCCTGGGGTTGGGGCCTGTGAGCGAGCACCTGGTGGCCGGGCTTTCGCCCATGGGGCCCGGCCGGGCCCAGCCCAAACCGGATACATGGGCTCATCCAACTGTGGACCCACCATCCGCAGGAGGAACATGAAGGGTCCGGTGCAGTGTGGATCGGGTGGCAGACCAAGGCGGGAGCCTTGGCGGTCCGATCCCCGGACAAGAATACTGGTTTTTGGGACATGGAACGTCACCTCGCTGGCGGGGAAGGAGCAGGAGCTTGTGGCAGAGGTTGAGCGGTACCGGCTAGATATAGTCGGACTCACCTCGACACATAGCATTGGCTCTGGAAACCAAGTCCTTGAGAGGGGTTGGACACTCTCCTTTGCTGGAGTTGCTCTAGGTGAGAGGCGGAGGGCTGGGGTTGGCTTTTTGTTAGCCCCAAGACTCCCTGCCCGTGTGTTGGGGTTTACCCCGGGGGACGAGAGGGTAGCTTCCCTGCGCCTTCGGGTCGGGGAACGGGTCCTGACTGTTGTTTGTGCTTATGGGCCAAATATCAGTTCAGAGTACCCACCCTTTTTGGAGTCCCTGGGACGAGTTATAGATGGTGCTCCATCAGGGGACTCCATTGTCCTGCTGGGGGACTTCAGTGCTCACGTGGGCAATGACAGCTTGACCTGAAGGGGTGTGATTGGGAGAAACGGCCCGCCTGATCTGAACTCGAGTGGTGTTTCGTTATTGGACTTCTGGGCAAGCCACAGTTCTGCCATAACAAACACCATGTTCGAACATAAGGATTCCCATCGGTACACTTGGTACCAGGGCAGCCTAGGTCGCAGGTCGATGATAGACATTCTAGTCGTATCATCTGACCTGCGGCCGTATGTTTTGGACACCCGAGTGAAGAGAGGAGCGGAGCTGTCAACTGATCACCACCTGGTGGTGAGTTGGATCAGATGGCAGGGGAAGATGCTGCGTAGACCTGGCAGACCCAGACGTATATAGAGGGTCTGCTGGGAACGCCTGGCAGAAGAACCTGTCAAGACGGTCTTCAACTCCCACCTCCAGCAGAGCTTTCACCGCGTCCCGAGAGCAGTGGGGGACATTGACTCCGAGTGGGCCTTGTTCCACTCTGCGATTGTTGAGGCGGCTGTTGCTAGCTGTGGTCGCAAGGTGGTCGGTGCCAGTCGTGGTGGCAACCCCTGTACCTGCTGGTGGACACCAGAGGTTCGGGGAGCCGTCAGGCTGAAGAAGGAGGCCTACAGGGCGTGGCTGGTCTGTGGGTCTCCGGAGGCAGCAGACAGGTACCGGATACCCAAGCGGGGTGCAGCAGTGGCAGTTGCCGAGGCAAAATCTCGGGCATGGGAGGAGTTTGGTGAGGCCATGGAGAAAGACTATCGATCAGCTCTAAAGAGGTTCTGGCAAACTGTCTGGCGCCTCAGGAGAGGAAGGCAGCAACTCGCTCACACTGTTTACAGTGGGGATGGGGAGCTGCTGACGTCAACTGAGGCTATAGTCGGGCGGTGGAAGGAATACTTTGAGGAGCTCCTCAATCCCACCTATGCGCATTCCGAGGAGGAACCAGAGCCGGGAGACCTGGGGATGGACTGTCCAATCTCGGGGGCAGAAGTTGCTGAGGTAGTCAAACAACTACACAGCGGCGGAGCCCCGGGGGGCGGATGAGGTTCGTCCTGGGTACCTCAAGGCAATGGATGTGGTAGGGCTATCATGGTTGACACGTCTCTGCAACATTGCGTGGTCATCGGGGGCAGTTCCTGTGGAGTGGCAGACCAGGGTGGTGGTCCCCATCTTTAAGAAGGGTGATCTGAGGGTGTGTTCCAACTATAGGGGGATCACACTCCTCAGCCTCCCTGGAAAGGTCTACTCCAAGGCACTGGAGAGGAGGGTCCGATCGATAGTTGAATCTCGGATTGAGGAGGAGCAATGTGGTTTTCGTCCAGGCCGTGGAACTGTGGACCAGCTCTATACCCTTGCAAGGGTGATGGAGGGGGCATGGGAGTTTGCCCAACCAATCCACATGTGTTTTGTGGATTTGGAGAAGGCTTATGACCTTGTCCCCAGGGGCACCCTGTGGGGGACGCTCCAGGAGTATGGGGTGGGTGGCTTTCTGTTAAGGGCCATTCAGTCCCTTTACCAGAGAAGCGTGAGTTTGGTCCGCATAGCCAGTAGTAAGTCGGACCTGTTCCCGGTGAGGGTTGGACTCCGCCAGGGCTGCCCTTTGTCACCGGTTCTGTTCATAACCTTTATGGACAGAATTTCTAGGCGCAGCCGTGGTGTGGAGTGTGTCAAGTTTGGTGGCAGGAGAATCTCGTCTCTGCTTTTTGCGGAAGATGTGGTCCTCCTAGCTTCATCCAGCTCTGATCTTCAGCTCTTGCTGGGTACGTGCGCAGGCGAGTGTGAAGCGGCTGGGATGAGGATCAGCACGTCCAAATCTGAGACCATGGTTCTCGACCGGTAAAGGGTGGCTTGCCAACTCCGGGAGAGGTCCTACATCAAGTGGAGGAGTTTAAGTATCTCGGGGTCTTGTTCACGAGTGAGGGTAGGAGGGATCGGGAGATTCACAGGCGGATGGCTTTGGCGTTTGCAGTGATGCGGACGCTGAGCAGATCTTTCGTGGTGAAGAGGGAGCTGAGCCAGAATGCCAGGCTCTCGATTTACCAGTCGATCCATGTCCCAATCCTCACATATGGTCATGAGCTTTGGGTAATGACCGAAAGAACGAGATTGCGAATACAAGCGACCAAAATGAGTTTCCTCCGTAGGGTGGCTGGGCTCAGCCTTAGAGATAGGGTGAGGAGCCTGGACATTCGGGAGGGACTCGAAGTAGAACCGCTGCTCCTCCGGATCGAAAGGAGTCAGTTGAGGTGGTTTGGGCATCTAGTCAGGATGCCTCCTGGACGCCTCCCTGGGGAGGTGTTTCGGGCATGTCCTGCCGGCAGGAGGCCCCCGGGTCGACCCAAGACACGTTGGAGAGGTTACATCTCCAATCTGGCCCGGGAACGCCTTGGGGTCCTGCCGGAGGAGCCGGTGGAGAAGGCCGGGGAGAGGACGGTCTGGAGCTCCCTAGTTGGGATGCTGCCCCCGCGACCCGGACCCGGAGAAGTGGAGGAAGACGACGACGATGACAATCAAAATCATAACATGATAACGTAACTTCCGTAAGCTTCATGTTCAGCCAATCCACTACTTTGACGTCATCGGCAGTCGAAGGACCCCGAGTCGATACTGCACCCGAGCAGATCCTGTACCGACACCGGTGCTCAATACGCCCCGCGGCTGGCTGGACCCTGCGCGCTGGAGCTACCGGTGTTATGCAGAGAAAAGTTGCCCTGCCTGCTAAAGGCTCCGCCTGCCTGCTCAGTCACGTGAACACGGCTCACAGCTACATATTGAGGGAGTAAACAACTTGAAATAAGAGCAACATTGCTACTTTTAGGTATATTCACAAAATAAACAATTATTTAATTGGTTTACTTCCTAAAAAAATGAAAGTGAAACTTAAAGGACAGTTTGGATGTGTTTTTTTCTTATTTTAATGCTTCTCTGAAAAGTATCGGATCGGTACTCTGTAACGGCAGATACTCAAAATCAAATGACTCTGAATCGGATCGGGAGCAGAAAAATCTGAACACAGAGGGGTGTGATGCTTTCACAGATCAGGATAAATAATCAGACTTTTGAGCTTCATCTCAGGAGTAGGTGAAGCTCTCACCAGTAGATGAATTGGTCCATCTGTAACGTCAGCCACTGTGGGGTGACTCCTTGTATTCTGTTCTGTGTAGAATGTCCTGATGGTGTGGATGGGGAGCAGGAGGAGCAGAAGGAGTCGTCACAGTCCCCCGCCCCATCGGGAGGTGCCAATGCTGCTGCAGGCGGTCGGAGAAACCCTCCTGGTGGCAAGTCCAGCCTCATCCTGGGCTGAGAAGATCCCTTTATTTTTTACTTTTTGATCTTTTTTCCATTCAGATGCTTTTCTTTTTTCTTTTTCTTTTTTCTTTTTCTGAAGATAACGCCCCCACCAGCACCGCCGCCACTCTCTTCCCCCGCATCAACATCTCCTCCTCATGCTGTCACATCCACGGACCTTCATGTCTCACTCCACCCTCAAACCTTTTGTTTGATCTTTTTTTTTATTAAAAGAAGAAAAACTTTTGACAAAAGCACTTTATGTATCTCCCACCCCTGCTCCATCTCCGCCCCTCCTGTAGTGCATCGCGCCTGCTGGGAAAGGCATGACATTTAGCTTGGCCCTCGTTCTACCCCGTTGTAAATGGTAAAACAAAAAAATTAATATTAAAGGATTTGATGCGTGGATTTCTAAATACAATAAAGATTCATATGAATTTGCTGATGTGTTTTCTTCAGCTCCTCAGATGAAAGGTTGTTTCAGAGGTGAAGGCTGATGGTGGCAGCTGGGGAGAGAGAAAGCAGACTCTGGGCTGCTGCTGGTTACGTCACAAGATCTAAAATATGCAGTCAGTTCATGACATCATGGGTTTGACATTTGGCTGGGCAGTGTGTTCCTGATTAAAAGTCTGAAGTTTTAGATTTTTAGAACAGAAGGTGAAAAGTGATCCACGCACGATGTAATGCTGCCTCTGAAACGCCACGTTTAATCGCTTCAACCCAAGATTCCTTATTTGGTTTTAATCAGAGGGCTTTACCTTTTTTAAACAAGTGTGAAGACAGAGAGGTTAAACATTAAGCAACCTGGCTGAGCTTAGACTGCGACTCCTATCCAGTGTTAGCTCTGTGAACAAAAACTGTATTCAAGGCTTTAAATTAAGAGTTTCTCATCTTTACAAACACCTCTTAAAGTGCAACAGTGTGTTTGCTTGGAAGTGGAGCAAATACTCCATGTTCTTTGTCTTTTTTGTTTATATTTAGTCACATTCAGAGCGTTCTCACTCGTCTTTTATCACCATCGACATAGATACTGGGCAATTCGTGTCCATAGGCTCCAATAAGTTTTTGTGCCAAAATGGGAGGTGGTCACCACCGCCATTTTGACCGTGTCACAGGTTCCGTCAAGCCCAGACAATTCCACAAAAGGGAAGAGAGGTGGAGCTGAGGGTGGGGCTGTAAAGTTGGGATCAAATGACGACACCTGTCGAACTGAAGCGATGTAGCTACAGGCTAACCCAAAGCTAACGCAGAGGTGGGAGCCAAGCTAACGGAGGTAGCTACGTAGCTACAACCGGAGTTAACTGTGCACAGCACCAGAGCTTATGAGTCAGAGATACTCCGGGCTGACCGCTGGGTAAAACCGGGTGGAACACAGAGGTCTCCCGAGAGCTCCACAAGCCGGCAGGTGCGCAGCAGACAGGCGCCGCTGCCATCAGAGATGCGCCGATCTGCCGCTGAGGGGTGGGAGACCATACCGATAGTCAGAACCCAGCTCCACCAACATGTCACATTTCAACTCATTTTCAAAATTGCAGCATCATGTTATGCACTGGGTTTTACCCTGGGTTTTACCCTATTACATTTAAATTTCATGGTTAAACAGTACATGTTAAAATCTAAGCTCAGCTAGTGCAAGAGCAGCAGTGACCTAAAATACATAAATATAATTTTACTTACCAAAAAAAATGAAGTGGAGTCTCCTTGGGCACTCTTATTAGTGCACTTAATACCACAGCAAGTCATTTATTGCACAAATAATATCCAAAAAGAACGCACAAACACTACAACTAATGTTCTAAGTTGAGAGACTGAAAATGGCAGAACAGTCTTCAGGCGACACCGAGGCTCAGACTGAGGCCTTTCCCCGGAGCTAGCTCTGCGGTCACGTGGATCTGATGCTCATTAATTATTCAGAATTTTAGGCTTTTAATACACAAACATAAGAGTGACCAAAAAATATTCACCCCCCTCAGAGTTGTCATGAGTGTAAACTAGATCATTTAAACAAAAAACATGTTTTGGTACCAGGCTGTAAACATGTTCATTTCTGCTGTGAAATTGGTATTTTTAACATGGGAGTCAATGAGGATTTGCTCGCTTCTGACACCAGCCCCTGGTGGATGATGGTGGAACTGCAATTTTTGTTACTTCCTGTTTTGCTTCACATCCAGACCCGAATTATGGGGGCTTGTTTATCACACACACCTTGCTAGTTCCAGTTAGGGCCGCCTTACGCCTAGAAGTCATGTCGTGGATGGAAACTTTCCTCAGAGGTTCTGGTCCATATTAAGATGACATCATCATACAGCCCCTTGATGAGGTGAATCCCTGTTCCACCACATCTCAAAGGTTCTGGACTGGACTAAGATCTGGTGACTGGAGGTTGTTGGAGATCAGTGAGCTCATGATCATGTTCTAGAAACAGAAATGATCTGAGCTGTGTGACATGGTCTTCATGATCCATGCTGGATCATCAGAGGATGGGTCCACTGTGGTCAGCAACAGTATTCAGGTAGGCCGTGGTGTTAAAACCAGAATCAGGTGGTACTAAAGGGTCCAAAGTTGCACAAGAACACCTCCCTTCCACACGACTCCCACCACCAAAGATAGGATGGATCCATGCTTTCATGTTGGCGACGCCAAATTCTGACCCGACTATCTGAATGCTGCAGCCGAAATCCAAAATCATCAGACCAGGAAATGTCCAGTTTTGGTGATCGTGTCTGAACTGTAGCCTCCGTTTCCTGTTCTTAGCTGTCAGGAGAGACACCTGGTGTGGTTTTCTGTTGCTGAAGTCCTCTACTTAAGGTTCATATATGGTATTCTGCAGACCTTAGATGGAACCATCATGACTTAATAGTGTATGATAGAAGACAAAACTCCCACTTGAAAGGTCTGTTCTTGCTAGTCTCTCAATTAGCACATCTATGTAGAACTGCTGTCGCCTTTGTCATCTAGAACCAGTACCAACTGACTTCAAAGACATTTTCATCCACACAACAGCTGCTCATTGGATATTTTCACAATTTTCAGACCATTATCTGTAAACTCTAGAAATGGTTGTGGGTGAAAATCCCGGTAGATCATCAGTTTCTGAAATAAATGTAGTTGGGCACAAACAATCATCACATAAATTTAAATAAAATTTCTTCCTTATGCTGATCCTCAGGTTGACTCTCAGCAAGTGGGTTTTACCACATCTAGATGACTAAAAACACTGCTGTTGCCGTGTTCACCTCGGCTGAATAGGTTGTTGAGGATATTTAATGACTTGTAACTTTGTATTTTTTATATTAAATCTAAAATTTTGATCTTTTGATAAAGGGTTCTTTTGAAATGTTATAAATGATAAATATCTTACCTGTCATAACTCAAACAATCGTTTGGAGAAAGGCTTCACGAGCTAACAGCTTAAACCAAAGTGGATCACAGCTGTCATAAAACAACTTGTTTTATTAGTCTTTAAAATGCACATAGCCCTTTGTTCATATCAAGGGGAAATCTGCCTGCCAAAAGTGAATCCAATGCGGAAGTAAAAGAAATTGCAGTTCCCATTGTCCTCGGATCGGCCCCGCCGGGGTCGGCCACGGCCCGGGCGGAGCGCCGAGAAGACGATCAAACTTGACTATCTAGAGGAAGTAAAAGTTGTAACAAGGTTTCCGTAGGTGAACCTGCAGAAGGATCATTACCGGTTTTGTCCCAAGTCTGGTGGCCGCAAAACCCTCCAAGCCCCGGGAGGACGGGCTGGTGGAGGGGCATCGGAGCGGTGGGCCAACCCCACCGGCGACGGTGTGCGTCAGGGGGAGGGGCGAGGAGGTGGTGTCACTTTTCCCGAGGCGACTCTGCGCGTCGGTGAGGACCTGGTACCCGTCGCTGCGCTCCGCCCCTCCACCTATCACCACCCGCCCTCCCGAGGCTCCAAGGCGGCAGGGTGCATCCGGGCCTCCGCCGTGCCCCGTACGCCCTCGACCTGCTCGGCCTCCCCCCCGCCGCTCCGTCTGTCTGCTCCGTCTGGAGGAGGCAGCGTGGTGCGGCGAGGGCGGTCGGGGATGCGGGACACAACAGCGCGGTCGTCCCGACTCCCCTGCCGTCGTCTGAAACGCCGGAGGCACGCCGAGCCGACCCAACTCCATGCGCCCGTAGCTCGCTGCCCCCCGTTACCCTGTGCACCCCGTCGGTCCGAAACTGCCCGCACCTATATAGCGACCCCCACCCTAGACAGGGGGGGTCATGGTGACTGGGCTGTGGACGGCCGGCGGGACCGGGGTTGCGGGGGAAGGGAGGTTAGCATCAGAGATTACTAGCTTTAGCATGTTGAGTCAAGTCAATGTAAGATTTATAAATTAGCATTTGTATAAGTAGCAGAATTAGAATTTGTTTTTAGAACATCTGTAGTTTACTTGATCTCAGACTAGCAGTTAGCATATCTTACAGTCAGAACGAAAAATCTTTCTTCAAAAGCAAGGGTGGCTAAAGTCTGCTAAAGGAGAGAAACCCACAATTAATGACTTTTCAAAGCAATGTCTACTGTTTAGACAAATGTATAGTATTGGTGTGCTAGTTTAATTAAATATGACTTCTGAGATTAATGTCCTCTTGTCCTCAGACCAAGATGTTGATTTAAAAGATTAAGTGTTGTTGATCTCATTACTTTAAGCCTCTCATTGTGAAGAATACGAGTCCAGAGGGCAAGTCATCTGTTCAGATTAGCTATGATAAAGGTTATCTTCTCTAACTCGAAGTTTTGATTTTCTACAAAAAAAAAATAAGAAAAACCCTCGAAAACAAAATTATAATATCACATTTTAGAAATCATGCATGGAATGGAGCATGTGACATTTAGGCACCAATAATCACCGTTTTCTTTTTCCTCCAGAGAATTTCTCCTGCTCAGGTTGTTGCTGCTGTGGCACAGCGACGTGCCTCTGCTAATCATCTGCTTAGAAAGGAATGCACGGGTCACTCAAGACCAGGAAAATAACTTCCTGTTCTGGAGAAATGCCAGGATGTAAGAGTGGACTCAGTGGAGGCTTGTTTTCTGTTAGTGTTGTTTCAGCAGGGGAAGTCCTGATGCTCTGCTGCCTCCTTAAAGCATTCCATCTGACGCTCATATGATCGGTGGGCTGAAGCAGAATAAACATCTTCTGAGTTAGTTCACCTAAATCTTCTAAATTTCTTTATCCATTATTCATCAGATTTAACAAATATCAGATGATGATTACTTGTTTTGTTTATGATCAGAGATGTACCATTTCTAGTTTTGAAGGCTGACATGGATTTCTGATACTTTGACCTGCCAGATGAATTATAAAGAACCACAGAGACACGCTTTATTGTGATGGAAGTCAAAACTTCAACTTGAAAGGTTTGTTCTTGCTAGTCTCAGTTAGCGCATAATGATTGTGAATTCACAGGAAGGATGTGGGTCCTTTTTTTT